TGGGGTAGCCTAATGGTTAAAGCGTTGGCTCGTCACGCCGATGACCCGGGTTCGAATCCCCACATGGGCACAATGTGTGAAGCCCATTTCTGGTGTCCCCCGCCGTGATGTTGCTGGAATATTGCTAAAAGCGGCGTAAAAAACCAAACTCAGTCAGTCAGGAAATTGCACATTCAAATTTTATAGGACTCGCATGCTTGTAACAACAACGGATTAGTTCAGCAACCGTAACATGCCGGCATTCCGGGAATGGGGAACAAACCGGGGTCTTACCGAAACGTCGACCCCTAAGGTTGAGGGTAAAAAATCCTTTGATGTGATATGTTGTTTTAGCGTTGTTGTTTCAAGGGACTAAAGTCTGCGTGTCACCCAAAGTTGAACTCAGTGCGAAAAGTGATCACCAAATTAAATATGAGATCAGTTCACCCACTAGAATATTATTATTTAGTGAGTTCGCTCAAAGCCACTAATTAATCCAATCATATCACTCATAGGGCAGCATGACGTATATCTCAAACATCATTTCCATCATGGCAAATGCACAGCTTGATCACTACTTTCTTCATACTTCTTGGGGCGCTAGATACATGTGTATGGGGGGATATATGCATAGAATCAGCAAGAGAAAGACAGGAGGTTGGGTTTCTTGGAAATGCCCAAAAATGATTGTAATTCGACGGTTTCTACAATCAATGACATTCTTTCAAAACAGACATCAGCGCACAACCGTGAGGCGACTGAAATGAAAATATAGTGCTTTACTGTTCATAAATGACTATATGCTGAATCCGCTTTTATGTCGTTCCTGTTTTCTGTATAACCCATGTGACTGTAACAACATTTTAATCCCATTGTACCCAGTCAGTGATGCGTGGAGACTGTCGGCTCCTCCCTTGCCAGTTTGTTTTGACACGCTTTAGAAGGTCGACGTTTCGGTAATGAACCGACAAACCGTCGTGATAGCGCCTGGTACCAATGAGACACAGGCAATGTATAGTAGAATTTGAGGAAACTTTAAATGGAGCTATAAATTTATGAAACGTAATGCTCAAATTGTTGATATCGTTATGACCTGTTGAGGAGACAGAGTTCACACCCTAGTGCACGATAAACTTCCCAGAAATGATCCAGGCAGGAAAGCTTGACTTTAGTTTTCGGAACAAGAGTTTCTTCATTCAAATGCCATTTTATGCCACTGTTTTCTATTCGTTATTCTTCGATCGTGTGTGCGTTACCATTATCTATAGAACAGTGCCGTGTGCTGTTCTTGATAATGTACTTGATAAAGTTACTAGTATCTGTCTCATTTAAGGAGTAAACATCCCTTGATGTTTGATAGAACTTGTGTTCACGTGTTCATGAGTCCATCTGAATAAAACCCTTATAGTATAAAATCTCTTCCTCGCACAGTTAAACAAATGTATGCTATATAACTATTTAACGTAACGCATGTATCAAGGATCATGACTACAATATCACTAAGTAGTAACCGAGAAGGAAAGAGTGAGTGAGTGAGGCAATATTTCACGTCACATCGGCAATATTTCAACCATATCATGACGAGAATAATTGATGATTATATCAATAAAATTAGAAATTAAAGAAGCCTGTTGACAAAGAACAGTAAAACTACTCGTGTGTCACTGATATCCATTTGAAACTAGTGATGAAATCTAAAACATGTTTACTAGAAATGACAAGACAATGTAAAACAGGCTATAGATTGCCAACAACTGAAGGTGGATCACCATACTAGGGACCATGGGGGCTTACTTTCTGCATGGACCCTAGCTGGATTTACACCATCCCTTCAGCCGTTAGCAGTTTAGACATATTTAGCCAAACATTAAAAACACACATATTCTACGATGAAAAAGGTTGGATAGATTTAAATTGGCCCAATGTTTTGGAACTTACGTACCCTCCTCAGAGGGGCCATACATTAACGGAGAAGGAACAGCCTGTATGATATGCAGACATTATATTAGTTTCGAAGGAAATGAAAAAGATGTGTTACACACGTTTGTACTTGTGCTTGGTGTCCTTAAACTTTATCGATGTTTCATATTAGTAATTTGGTCAATACCCTGAGGGCTTGTTCGTAAATAGGTCAGTACGTAGTCAGTATCTCACTGTCAGTTTGTTCATATACACAGAGGCCTATAATACCAGATAACACTAAAAATGAATGATGCAAGCCAGACATAAGGTGTTTATGCAGTGGTGATGGTTTTGTAACTTGACTGTGTCAATTACTAAGCGCAGGTTGAGGTCTTCTGTACAATACTTTGGTGTAAATGTTGTGAAGATATTCAGAAATAGTGTGTATATTGACATTTAAACAGCATGTGTGTATATTGACATTTAAACAGCATGAGATCATTTGGCTGATAAAAAAAAGAATATTCTACACTTCAATCTAATTCTTTCCTATGATTGGAATTCCTTAGTTTAGAAACACATACTTACACAAGCAGGCACTGGGGTATCCAAGTGGCTTCAGCGTTTTATCTTCCACCGGGGACCTGAGTTCGATTCCCTACATGGGTTAATGTGTCCCGTCTGGGTATGTGCTGAATTATTGCTTGAAGCACACTCACTCATTCAGTGAGGTATATCCCGAAAGGGATACAATTCGCTACTTTGACAGGATATACGAAGACTTTTACGAGGTGATCAAAATAAAATGTTTCTGTATTTCACTTATCATTTAACAAAACCTCAAATTTGACCATTTTGTATAATAAACTAAGCCATCCCGAGTTATCTCCCTTCATGACAGTTCAGGAAAACATCATAGCGAAACGTTCTGCGTCTCATTCTGCCGAAGATTGAATGTTTTTTTTAAAATTAAAACTGCGCCTCAGGAAATACGGAATTTACAAGGGTCTTACAGTCCCGTACACCCTTTGAAAACACCGTGTGACTTATAGTGTAACACTGGTTTCGGAACAAGAAGACAGACAATGGCATCATGACTTGGGTTTGACCTGGCTTTGTGATGTGATGAAATCACTAGACAGTCCATAACCTGCTGCGGACAAGGAGCCTAAAGCACAAATCGTGAGCAGACCCTTAACATATAACAAAATGATGTATACATAATGGACATATGAATGGAAATGATCGTATAACGAACCACATGTAGTCAGTTACTTGTGACAATAAATATATCCTTACCTCCTGTTTCAGAAAGTACCACTGTATTGGTAGCATTTATACTTTTATTATTCAATAAGGTGTCTTAAAGGATCTACGCTGCATATATAGAAACTTGTTTAAGAAGCCGGCAGACGCTCATGGATAGTCTGAACTGCAGATATTTCACAAAACACGTAGTCATTCAATATTCGATCTCAATGCTAACGAAATTTCGACACGCAAAACAATTGTAAACTTGAATGGGACGTTTTGGATGGTTGTGCATCATGCTTAGATTGAAGTTTTTAAAATTATGCTGATAGAAATAGGCAACTACATTTACACTGAACAGGAACCCTAACGAGTTACAGTTAGGACTGCTTAAGATTGTGCGCATGACTAGCGTATGTGCATGCATGTATGTATGTATGTATGTATGTATGTATGTATGTATGTATGTATGTATGTATGTATGTATGTATGTATGTATGTATGTATGTATGTATGTATGTATGTATGTATGTATGTATGTATGTATGTGTGTGCGTGTATATATGTATGTATGTGTGTGTTTAGTGTGTGTGTGTTTAGTGTATGTATGTATGTATGTATGTATGTATGTATGTATGTATGTATGTATGTATGTGTGTGTGTTTGTTTAGTGTGTGTGTGGTTAGTGTGTGTGTTTAGAGAGAGAGAGTGTGTGTGTGTGTGTGTGTGTGTGTGTGTGTGTGTGTGTGTGTGTGTGTGTGTGTGTGTGTGTGTGTGTGTGTGTGTGTGTGTGTGGATTGTCCCTCACCAGCTATTCAAAGTTTTATTAAGGATCGCTGTGTCAGTTACGTTTGCTCTTATGTTTGTAAGCTCTGTTATAATTAAGACTATGCAACCAGGGAAATACCAGTGTGCAGTAGTAAATTGTCGAGCATTACATGTACAGGTAGCAAAGAAGTTTGAAACTTGTATAGTGCATGTAAAAAACTTGAATATTCAGCCATAACCTCTAACATGTGTTAAGAAATCTATGTACATTGTATGCAGTGCTATGGCTCTTCAAATGGTTTCACTACTTGATTCACTTGATTCACTTCCTGGTCGCCCAGACTTGCTTCGGCGTTCAGACGGGCAACTGTGAGTTGTTGGTGTAAACATAGATTTGATGCATTGTGTGTAGATACGTGGAAGAACATCATGTATTTGTATCGACGGTAGATCCTATATGTGACACTATCCTATCAGTTAGATATGACTTAACATTGAACACACACCCCTTCTTTCCGGTCCGGTCGGTCGCGGTGTGCATTGCAGGAATCCGTATTTGTGTAAATATGGTTATATCGAAAACGTAACTGTTTGTTTCTGTATCTTATATTACAATGAAAAATATACACCCATGATAATTCGAAAAGCAAATGTTAATATTAGATCAGAGTATCCACATAGTATTTTCGTGTTTAAAGATGTGTTTAAACTGCCCCAGCCAAGCTGATTTCAGGTATCACAAAGCTATACATAACAGTCGACAAGGTGCTTTTCACAATCAACACAAAAGCATTCAGACCAGTGACAGACACAATGGCTCGATTTGTGTTTTTCAATACGTATTTCACTCAGTTTACGTCCTGGTAGCCTATACATGTATTGCTGTTCAGGCATTGCATTGAACAACTGTGGGCTGTATATGTAAGAGGTAAGCAGAGACAGATTTCTTCGTTTAACTCAAAGCCATTGTATATATGAGTGACTGATCAACATGTGATAAATACCAGTGTATGGGGGTTAGGTCCTGTGATAATATCTTATATTATCTTACTTCGATATTACAGGATGATGACCACACCTATGTTGTACCTGTGCTTTTCTACACTGTAACGTATCATCTGGACCAAATCTTTGTCTATGAAAGGATTTCCTCAAAATATGTATCTCCTTCCTCTGGTGTGTTCATGTGTAGAATCACTTGTTTTGGTTTGATGTAGACGTACGTAGACTTCTAGCAAATTGTAAAACATATATATTTGCGTACAAATTGCCTAATTATGGCACAGAACTGTGTATAACGATACTCTATCGCGCTATATGCACAATCTTTATAATCATATAACTACTTTTTACTGAGAAAAATATCCTGAAAGCTTCCTTAGTAACTCCATGAAAGAAACAAATTACATAGATAGTCTTACTCATGAAAATGCAGTCACTGTTGTGTCGAACTTTGATGTGTCGAGATTATGGTTGTCTCTAAGGACAAACACTGTCCCTTCGGATGGTTTTTGTTCTACAATACTCGGTTTTATCGAATCTCGGATAATTCGAATTATGTATGTCGTCACCTTCGTATTCGACTTAAAGCTTTTTAACTGCATGCTGTATATAAATAGAAATAGGAACTCACGTCCCTACTCCATGGGAGCATATATGAACATACTGCTATACACATTCAGTAGCTTTCAACTCTTCTTTTGAACAGCTTTCAATCTGTTATTCGTCAATGACTAGCCTCACCTGAAAGGTCTTTATTTACAATCCTATGTGTGAATCCAACATGTTTCATGTACGCTTATTCACTCTGCTGTTGTGTAAACATATATCTTTGTGAACCAAGGAATATACCCGCATGAATTCATGAGGAAATATGTAAACACACTGCAAGGTATATTTAAACTTTCATGAATGTTCGAGATAAGCGAATCTTAAGTCTGAACTAACTGCAGCTTGAAACCCTTTGTACGCTATACTATGGAGCTAAATATACCAAAAGTGCAAACATACTTGAGTGCTAGATTACGAGATTTATAATTCATTTATACTTTGTACGTACCAATGTTTGTGAAAAGCTGACACGACCGCAGCTTTTGAACATGATGCAAAAGGGGGCGGTGGGGTAGCCTAGCGGTTAAAGCGTTCGCTTGTCACGCTGAAGACCCGGGTTCGAGTCCCCACATGGGTACAATGTGTGAAGGCCATTTCTGGGGTCCCCCGCCGTGATATTGCTGGAATATTGCTAAAAGCGGCGTAAAACTAACCACACACACGCACGCACACACTCACACGCACACACTCACACGCACACACACACATGATGCAAAAATTCGCAATCTTGCAATCTAATCTGGACTTGTTCAATCAGGCCCCAAACACTTTTAATGCGTGAAAGCAACATGTCGTTTTCATGCTTTTTAGTTGTACCGATATATTTTATACTGATATATTTTGTTTAATTATTATTATATGATATTTATATGTAGCGCACATATCCAGGCAACTAGTGCTTGCTCAAGGCGCTGGTATAGGACACAATCTGTGCAGTCAAAAGTTCTCCCAATCGGTCTGAAAAGAAATTCACATGTAATCAACTAAGACCACAAAAATGTATATGCGTTAACTGTCAGGCACGTCCCAGATTCACAATCAATTGTATGTCAAGTCACCAGAGATTGTAACACTAAGTAGGACATTTACCATGTAATATAGTATACCTGCCGGCAACCTATTGTTTCACTGGGAGGTTGTTTCTGTGAGATCGAGAGACGAGGTCGGATCAAAGGGATGGGTAAGCATGACACGATGTGCTCACTAGGTTTTATCGCAGGTGTACATTCAGCAACTAAATTTAGCAACAAATTGGCAAATGTTGGCGAGAGTTCCAGTTGCCAAAGTCGTCCTTGTTGAAATTTGAAGGAGAAGCATGTCTGGCTTGACCATTTATCATGTAATCATGTCGTTTTGTGAAATATGCGTAGGAAGTAGAATACACACCAATGATTGTTCCGTTTTAGGTTCCATCCCCGACGGAACAAACCCAAAGCACGATGGCGTGGTTTTTGAACACGGTGCTCTTTCTCTCCATCACTGGGACTCTCACCGGTAGGACGTTTAATAGGGGTTATTGGTATGTTATGCCCATGCAGGTAGCAAAAGTCCACATGGTCCCTAGTATGGTGGTCTGTCGTCAGTTGCTGGCGATCTACGGTCCATTTTTATATTTGTTCTGATAGAAATGGAATATTAAAGATAAATGCTTGTTTTAAATTCTGTTTCTGTGATATGCTAGTGGTTTTGTTTCTGGCCTTTCTTGACAGATGTTTATAATATGAATGTATTCATCATGTATTTAGAACTTGTTTGTGGCACGATATGGCTGAGATGCTGTCGTTGTGACTTTAACTAACTCACTCACTCACTCAATCAATCAATCAATCACTCTTGGTATGCTACCATTAGTGGCAACTATGTATCTGGTACTATTTCCCAAGTTGTGCTTGACACATCCTGGATATAACAGTTCTGTCTCACATCGTATATCATGTATCATTAGCTAGTACTAAATGTTTTGTGGAATTAACCAAGAAGTCACCCACGGAAGGGTGACATGTTTCTGTTTTCTGTTCATATATAAAAGTCGATATCCCTGCAGTATCAAAACGTAATTTCCTTATTTTCATTATGCTTTCAGATGCCGCGTGTCACTGTAACACTGCAGCTGCCTGTGCCGTGTTCCCCTCTACTCCCTGTAGCCAGGACGGTTATCCAGACATATGTCAGCAAGGATGGTACGGTTCCCATTGCCAGAGACGTGAGTAGAGGACATTTGCATTTGGTTGATATCGATGTACAATGGGATCACACTCGTTTAGGTTTATATCAAGCAATTTCATTCTGTTGAAACCAATATATAAGATGGATCGGAGTCTGTGTGTAGTGTACTTAGATATACAGACACAACAAATAATGAAAAATCATCCTGGCCATAGTGTGTCGCATATTACCCTCAGATAGACCTAGTTAGATAGATTGGTTAAGTATCACTCTTCATAAATAACAAACACGAACAAAATTATAACAAATATAGTTTTCCGAATATTATTTAGCACAGTTTATAACTAGCCTATAGACCACAAACAACCCCTTCTTGGGAGCAAGGAGACTTACGGTACTTCTGCTTCATACATGATTCCTCTGCGTAAAATTAATAAACGTACTTTACATACTATAATGTATTTTTATAGTTAATAGTTTTGAAGGGTTTATGTCATATGTAAGATAACACATTTTGAAAAAATGACAAGACATGTATTTTTCGCCATTAGTCCAAAAGATAAAAATCGTGTATGTTTTTTTTGAACTAGTTCTTTCAGGTACTTTCACGGTTCAGAAAAAAATAAAACCAACATGCCAGCTTGATAACTACCTTCTTTCCAAATGGTCGCATGACGGAACAAATATGTTAAATACACTCTAATATTTCATAAACCATTTCTTTTCGAAATTCCCTTTTTGGTACCATCACATGTTTCATGTTAATTCGGAAATTATCACACGGAGTACTCAGTGCGATGACTGGGCAGAATCAAACGTCATGACATATAATAGTTTCTGATGGTCTGTATTTTGTTTTACATATCTGAGTGCTATCTTTGTATGAGTCTCCTTTACATGTTATTTCAATGTCACGCTCAATATATACTCAGTTGTTGCCAATAAAAATATAATTTCATATTTTTATCGGCGGTGTCTGTATTTCGAAATGCTACTTGACATCTGCATTCCGTTTTCCACGTTTGCCTATTATGATGGATATCTAAAGCTCAGCTATGTATGAGTCAGATATACATTACGAAACACTATACACGGCCACGTATTAACTGTTACCGTACAATGAACCAAACGCCATTATTTCCACCATTGCCTTATGTTGATGATGTTGTACATGGTTTCACTTTCTTCAGGAAATATTGCTATAGGACAAAGTGCCACACAGAGCAGTACATTCACTGAAAACAGTGACAAGACAGGGTATACAGATCACAGGTTCGAGGCCAGGTACGGCGTAGATGGCAGAGCTACCACCAACTTCTATAGCAAACCATTCACATGTACACATACAGCCACAGGGGATCCACATCCAGCTTGGACTGTTCATCTGGGCAACTCTAACACAGACAAGATACAACACATTAAGCTGTATCTACGTGATGGCTGTGAGTATCGGTGGAAAATGTATATTTCATTTTAGTTTTCAATTATAAATAATATTGTGCTCAACTACCCATTATTATCGTTAACTGAATCATCATTAAAATATCATGTATTGTTGATGTATTCCTTGTAATGCTTGATAACAGGTACGTGCGGATGTATTGTTATCATGGCTACTTTGGATCCTCAGTAAACACTTGTTTGTCTTTTGGACTTGTGTTTGTGCATACTAATACTTGCTGTACCTTTCACAATCTATCTACTGCTTTATCAAATGTGACATCTGACATCAAAGAATGTAATTTTCTGTTTTGATATGCAGTCTTGGACAGAAACAAGGGCATGAAGATATATGTCGGTGGTCAGCTATGCTTCCAGTGGTCAAGTGACACATACCCACCTGCTATAGCTGACGTCAAATGTCAACAAGCACTGACAGGAAACAACCTCACTATACAGACAAGCAATTATGTCGCGTTGTGCGAGGTGCAGATATTTGGTAGGTTAACATACGTCTGTGAGTAGGTGAGCAGGTGAACACAACAGAAACTCGATTAGTCAACAAGACGACTGGTCAATGTAATGTGCCAATCTCAGTGAAATCAGTGAACTGATGAAAAAGCAATAATTCAATAGCTGGAACAACAAAAGGCTGCGACACTCATGGATTCTTTCCTGAAGCTGGGCAAATCGATTGCTCTAAATGACGTTACAGATAACAACGCTCGTAATGAAACTGTAGATAAGAAATAGATAAATGAAAACACAATGCCCTTTATTTAAAATGTCTCGGTCTTTACTCTTCAGGGAGATAGTAGGGCGGTGGGGTAGCCTAGTGGTAAAAGCGTTGGCTCGTCACGCCGAACACCCGGGTTATATTCCCCACATGGGCACAATGTTTGAAGCCCATTTTTGGTGTCCCCCGCCGTTCTATTGCTGGAATATTGCTAAAAGCGGCGTAAAACTAAACTCAGTCAGTCAGTCAGGGAGATAGTAGATTCAGGGAGTAAGGAAGGAAACGTGTTGGAGAAAAGGGCATTGTGTTTTTATTTATCTGTTTGTATTATTCGAAGGGAACCCCTTTCCCAATTTTGATGATCATTAATCACGAAATCTGATTTGTAATTTGGTTCTGACGTTGCCAGTTATATGTCACGTCAGTTATCTATTGTTATCATGTTCATTTTCAGTTTGCAGTGACGGCTGGTTTGGTGAGGACTGTGACAAACAGTGTCATTGTTCACTAAACACAGAAGTATGTGACAAGATCACTGGACAGTGTGTGAGTGGATGTTCTCCAGGATACATGGGGACGGACTGCCAAACAGGTACAGATTTTGAGCCATACACAATCAAACGCAACCGGATTGTCTACCTTGTGTTTCCAGATATGTACCATTCCAATATGTATCTTGGTGTATAGTATTAAAAATTGCCATGGCCTTCCGGGATGAACCCTTTATTAGCAAATGTCCATATTTAAATTGCATCAGATTATTTTAAACTTATCATTACGAAGTTGTTATGCAACAGCGTGTCCAGACGGTTACTATGGCGACTGCACCTCCAGATGCGGCAGCTGCCTCAATGCTGCCTATTGTGACAAGACTACAGGTGTCTGTCCAGGGGGTTGTGCAGCAGGGTGGCGAACTGACACCTGTCGTCAACGTGAGTACATATTGATGTTTTCATGCATATTCCCAGAATACTATCACAAGCATGAATAAACCCTCTCCATATTGACAATAATTAATTTCTATAAGCAGCGTCGGTTGTACAATACCGACTATATAATGCGCTATGAATCACTATAAAATTGTGATGATCCCGGGTGTTCATGAAAGACTGTACATGCATCCTGCTCACTCAAAATGGGGAATTGCCTCGGTCATTATTTTATGCTACTGATGCATCAACTTTGGAATTGTCCTCCATATGTCTCTATCATAAGACCTTTTGAATTAGCCTCGTACATTGTATCCTGCGTGAAATATCTTTTGAGATGGAATCCCTTAGAAATTTCTTAGAATGAGCATGGTATATTATAACGTAGAAGTTAAAAGCATGAGCTCTTGGTGGAGATAAGTTATACAATCGCAACAGCATTGCCTTCAAAAAGCATAAATTATTATGAATGAACTTGGTTGAACATAAACCATAAATTCTTCCATTCTTTTTTTAAACATATATGAACTGTCCTTGGACAGTATCATGTATGGTATTGCATAACATATATGTATGCCCTTAATAATATTTTTTTCTAAAGCAACACTTGCACTCTATTGGGTTAAAGACAGTGTAAGTTGTTTAATTTTTACCTTTTAGATATGTGAGTGAGTGAGTTAAAATTTAACGTCACATCGGCAATATTGCAGCCATATTGTGACGAGAACAGTTTATATCAATATTCTTTTAGATATGTGTGCCTTGATGTTTTTAATTAATATTGTTAATTCCGTTTAGTTATCATGGAAATATAGGATACTTGTAAAGACACATGTTAATCTACGTCCTTTGTTCACATCATGTCCGAGTGGCCTCTGTGGTCAGATGACGTAAATATGTTGCATCTGCTGGGGACTGAAATGGAATATTCGTGAACTAAGTTAATTGGAAATGTTTTCAAATGTCCCTAAGGTGTACATATTATATAGTGAAACTTAGATGTCTAAATGCATCTCCGGGGAGAATAAAAAAATCAAAATAGGCATAGTCGGTACAATCAAGGTGGAAAGAATAGGATGTCTCTTGTTCAGATTTGACTTTGTCGTTTATCTCCAAAGGAAAGTCCAGTCATCCTGATAATATTTTGACCTAACACACGACAAATTGCAACAGAAATGATTTCAACTGTTTTAAGTGAGTGAGTGAGTTAAAATGTACAGTCACATCGGCAATATTCCAGCCATATCCTGACTAAATCAAGTTATAGATTTAAAATAATTAAAAGTAAATGATAAACATCTGCCAAAGACGGACAGTAAAAGAACAAAATTTTAGCAATCATCTAAAGAACCTACATATACATAGTAACCTGAGCACACATGTCAAGAATAATGGACAATATAATAATAATTATAATAATAATAATAATAATAATAATAGGCCATTTATATAGCGCCTTTCCACGTCACAGGGATATGCTCAAAGCGCTTGACATTTGATGTTGTAATGCCTCATGCTCACAAGATTGACATATTTTAACTGCATCACTGAGACGTACAATCGTTCACAGGCACGTGTTTATGTTACGGTCTACAGCATGCCCAGAAGGACATTATTTCAATGTTTCAACAATCATTAAATAAACCTACATGTATATAGAAACCTAAAAAGATTATTAACACGCAATTTGTCCAAGTGAAGAGTACTAGGCCATTCTTTAGCCTGTCCAGACGCCAAACATGTCACGAGTAAATGAGATTATCCCTCAACTGCCCTTGGCATTTCATGTTCTAATGTCTCTAGCTCACAAAATGGAACATTAACTTAATCACAGAAGCTTACAATCGGTTGAACTATGATACATGTTCATGTTACTGTCTACAGCATGCCCAGAAGGACGTTATGGTGCCAGTTGTGCGTCTCCGTGTGGTTACTGTCTGGACAATGATGTCTGTGACAAGGTGACAGGGAAATGTCCTGGAGGATGTCAGCCAGGATGGTGGCCAGATTTATGTTCACAGGGTAGGTACTAGATCTGTACGTATTCTTGTATTACTGAAACGTGTAGTTTTTTGTTAACGGTTCATGGTATCTTGACAGTTTGCAGTGATGGTCGTCATGGACACCACTGTCAGTCTGAGTGTGGCCAATGTAAAGGAAACCTGCCATGTAACAAGGTCAATGGAACATGCGAAGAAGGATGTCGGCCAGGGTTTCAAGAACCATTTTGTAAAGGTGGGATAAACTTTTGATGTGATGGAATTTGTAATTGTTCTGCCCCACCCCATGAGGTTCTTGGTCCCTTTGATAAAGCAGGCGTGTCAATATATCGCAGAAGTCGGGCGGTTAGATGAAACATATGTCTCGTCTTCTCCCCAGAATGTGTGGATGGTATGTACGGGGATGACTGCATGTCCCGATGTGGTCAGTGTAAAGACGCCCTAACCTGTGATAAGTCCAGTGGAGAATGTCCAAAAGGATGTCAGGGTAACTTCATGAAGCCCCTGTGCCAAGGTAAGATACTTTAAGCAGTAGGTAATATTGTGAAATAAAAATTTGCTTTCGATCATATACAAAGTTTGCTCTGTCATCCAGACAACTGACAGCGAGATAACTGCTGTTGAAAATCTTGTTCTCTCATTATAAACATAACGAGGGTAAGACATCAAGGCATCTGATATGAACCCTTTATTTATGTTCTGAAACTAGGTTGTCCTGCAACATCAGGGTACTCAAACCAGGTAGTGCCAGTTGTAGCAACACTTGGGACGTTACTCGTCTTGTCTCTGATCACTCTCCTGACAGCTATCATTTACATCAGAAGGTGAGAGGAAGTAAGACAATGTCTTATATGCGTGTGTGTGTGCGTATATACGTATATATATATATATGTACATATATATATTGGAAGGCATTTCAGGGTCCGTCTAGAAACTTATAAAAGAAATTGAAACGTTGGAACATTTCTATATATTGCAGACTGAAAATGCAACTGGATGTCTCACAAAAGAAACCCGAAGATAACTACTTGTCTTTAGACGAGAGGACCAAGGATCCAGTTGTGGAGAACACATATGAGCACATCGACGATGCCACTCCTAATATTAGTGTAGGCGACGACCCTCAGGGCCGTATTTGAGCTGAATAGTTGCATACAGCGAACTGTCGATGTATATTGATATGGAGTACTCTTTTGTTACCTAAATTGTTCTGAGTGTGGCCAAGGTCACTTATTACTTAACAACTGAACCACAACAACAAGACGTGTTCTGATGTCAATAATAGGATAACGGCATGATTCATGTTTGTTTGTTGTAAAAACGACAAATTAGCCGTTTGAACAAACTCACCTCTGTATCTCACAATGTTTAAATTCCTACCAACTCCAATCCTTTGAGTCCTCCCTTCAGCAGTTATTCCTTCCCATGATGACTTTGAAGAACACCATGATCACCTCATTGAATGTTACCATCTGACTGGTGAAGAAGGATCCCACTCCACTGTTTTGTTGTCTACCGTTAGTGTGTTCCCCATCTCTGGCGACAGCAAGTTGTGCCATCAAGTAAGTCGGTCGGCCTGTTTTTGAGGCATTTAGAAGTTGGAGGAACAAGGGAAGATAACAATATATGGATGAATAACTTCCTCCTTACACCTTCGGACATTGAATTGACATGCAATCTTACTCTGCGAGACACCGAATTTAAATATTCTTATGACTCGCTGTCTGTCATTTTCCTTTATGTGTAACCTGGTCACATTTAACCAAACCTACCAAATGTGGGGTTGTCAGCACACGTTCGAATACAGGGTATAATAGATGACAGTATATTACCTTTTGTAGATATTTTGTGACATATTTCTCCCTGAATAATTAGCTGTTGTTGAAACATATGAGACCATGTCTTGGTGTCCCTCCATGTGACATAAGGGTTAAAAATTGTACAAAGCTATTACTTTTACTATGTGCACTGAAATATTACATATAATTATACATTATAGTGTGTGACCTTTTGTATATATTATTTGAAACATTTCATTTGAATAATAAACAATGTCGCAATAATTTAAGTCAAATTATAAAACCCTGTCAACGACGGACAGTACAATATATAGAGATCACAGATTTAGATATAAAACCAGTATGAAAAACTAAAAACTTTTAACTATAGAAGACAATACAATATAAAAAACAGGCTATATATTGCCAACAACCGAAGGTAGATCACCATACCAGGTACCATGCATATGGGTACATTTGCTTCCTACATAGAGCCTAGCTGGATTTACACCATCCCTTCAGCCGTTAGCCATTCAGTCAAATCTAGCCATACAGTAAAATGACATATATTCTACGACTAAAAGGTGGTAAGAATAAATTTACCTTGAATGATTCTCAGGAGGACAATAAGTTTACAGTACTTTAACCCCCTTTGAGGACACAGCCACTAACAATCTCAGTTGCTAATTTAAACTATACCAATTATAAAATACATCTATCTACAAAACTTATCAATCAAAATGAATTAATTAAATCAATTTCTTTTAAAAACTCAATGATTAAATGAAAATTAACATTTGTAAAAAGATCCTTAAGAATTTTCACATTGAAACATTTATCCCTTATGATGTGTACATGTATGTACTTGTGGCACTGACATTTTCATTAATGCCAAAGATACCTCCGGGAGGTATATATTAGATCAAAACCGTAACAAGGTCAAATACATCATGACACATACATATCTGTACTGTCACCTCTTGTATTACTCTTTCCGGATCCTTGGCATTTTGCCATAAAATCATTTATATGTATTTCTAATTACACTTGTTACTTTTTGTAATATAAATGTAATCATGAGCTTAACACGCTGTTTTTTGCCATGACATGTCATGCTGGTCACTGACCATAATCACAATAAGCACAGTATAGATGTTGAATCCATATACTCATTTAATGCTTGATGTATGTTTATGAAAGGTTGGATTATGTCGATAAATAGGACACACGTAAAAATACTATTATCATTCTCATGAATTTATGATTTGTGATTGGGGGCGTGGTTGACGAGCTGTCTAAGTACAACAACACGTCGTAAAAATGGGCAATAGATCGCCAGCAACTGAAGGTAGATCACCATAGAACGGACCATGGGAACTTACAGTGCTTTTGCTACCTGCATGGACCCTAGCTGGATTTACGCCATCCCTTCAGCCGCTGGTGACTGTAAGAAAATTTAGCCGAAATTTAAAATAACAAAATACTACGCTTAAAAAGTTGGTAAGTTTATAAATTTACTTTGAACGTTTTGGGACTTACGTGCACTATCAGGAGGTTGAGTGAGTTTAGTTTTACGCCGCACTCAGCAATATTTCAGCTATATGGCGGCGGTCTGTAAATAATCGAGTCTGGTCCAGACAATCCAGTGATCAACAGCATGAGCATCGATCTACGCAATTGGGATACGATGACATGTGTGAACCAAGTCAGCGAGCCTGACCACCCGATCCCGTTAGTCGCCTCCTACAACAAGCATGGGTTACTGAAGATTAATTCTAACCCGGATCTTCACGGGTCTGCTGAGAGTAAGGGTAGAAGGAGGGGTTTGTATGCATGTATGTGTGTGTGTGTGTGTCTGTGTGTGTGTGTTCCTGTTTGCTCGCAAACATTATTTGTGGTCCTTTATTACGGGAAGGGACAAATGGACAAATGGACAAATGTTACCTGTATTTACTCATTATTATGAAAAATATAATATAATATATAATCAATAAACCACGTACGAGGAAAACTGCAATGCAGGATGTAGTATCAAGTTGAACGAACTGTCAAAAGATTCCTATGCTAGCTGGTGAGGTAGACGGGTAGTCTCCTCTCTACAACTTTCTTCCTGGTTGTTGGTCGATGTATGTTTCCAACGTGGGTACAGGTGAATATCCATGAGCTTTTAGATTACATTTGCAATTTAATCGTGATGCCAGTAGTATCGTTTCATCATAATTATGTGGAATAGATACTGTTATTTCCGAAGGAAGATGTACTTCGACAGCGGTACAACGCTCAGCTTAATCAATTTGTATAGCGGACGACGCTTGGGGTACTGTATATTGTGAGAGCGGCTGTGACATATTGACCTGAGTGTATTGTAGTTTGCAATGCACGGCGAATTGTGATAATATGGAGAGGTATTTGTGAACACCTGTTTCGTTCATGGTAACTGATTTAGGTATGTACCTTTCCCGTAATATACATGGACACATCTGTATACATTTAGTAAATCATTGCATAAAATATATGAACACATCAGTGTGGCGATAGCTAATGGCGAGAGAGTCGCCCATCTATAAGGGTGCATTGTTATCAGATTCACCAGAGTCGAGAAATTCCGTATGTGTACCGGTCTGTGTTCTGCTCAAAACATCGACGTAACAGCCTCTGAGTCATGTCGAGCAACGTCACGGTTATGATCGGGTGTGCCTGTTGTCTGTACCTTGGTACTGATTACTTGTGAGCCAGTCGATAGGAATACCATTAGTGCATATTTTCCGATCTATACTTGGATTGGAGCGCTCTTTACGAATATCCTACGCACAACTTGTGATTGAAACGAGTTCGGAAAACACCGACAAAACCGCGTGCGACAGTTTTCGATGTACGGAGCAATTGTTAACATTCCATATATATGGCAAGTGTTCGCTGTTTGGAAACTGTTAACCTCGAAGTTTCAATTATCTATATACTATTCACACTTTGCTAAGGATTAAATCATGGATTCAACAGAAAACTATCATGTGGGATCAAATTTGGTTTAAATATCTAAGCTTATTGATAGCATAGATCCTAGGTTTCAGTATGTCATTGCATCTTGTGGATCCCATACCTACCATTGACAGGTGCTGTGTACTTGTCAATGACTCGTACCATGATTTGCAAAATGTTTGATTGGTGCCATGAAATTCATTTTTATGGTTACTCATGTATCAAGTGCATAAGGTTAGATTAAAGTGACTGTTTGCCTAAAGAGGGGTTACCATATTATTATTTATCCAGTTTTAAATGGATACATTTTCAAATTATAGATCGCGTTTAAGTAAAGTTGTGAATGTTTGTGATCCTGAGCAAAGTGTCAGTGGTATATATTTCTGGCAAGTCGTAAGGGATAATAAGTCTTTTATTACATCAATAGGATGCTAAAGTGAGTGAGTGAGTGAGTTAATATTTATCGTCACATCGGCAATATTTCAGCCATATCGTGACGAGAACATTTTATAATTATATACTGAGTCAAAAAAGAAACTTCACATTCTTTCTTCAGGGCACTATAAAAGAACAAGAGATGGTGAAATGGTTAAATTGTTATTATTTCATTGCTGAGATCTGTGTGATGTACTCGATACACTGACAGTGCCATAATCAGTTCCATTAGGCTACACCGCCGTTCCAAAACATGGGTATACAGAATGTCAAGTCACAAGAATAAAAATGCGAAATTTCTCAGTTCAATATCGTGTATGGCCCGCCCCGCGCATTCACCACTGCCAAACACCGTCTCCACATCGACTGCCTGATGCTTGTGAACACGTGGTTGGGGATTCTGCGCCATTGCTCTTGCAAGGCAGCGCCAAGTTCCTGCAAATTCTGAGGTTGGTTCCTAAGACCACGAAGCCTTCTCCCAAGTGCATCCCAAACGTGCTCTATTGGATTAAGGTCAGGGGACCTCGATGGCCAGTCCATGACGTTGATTCCAGCGTTTTGAAGGAAATTTCGTGTCAACATCGCGGTATGCGGCCGAGCATTATCATGCTGGAACTGTAGACCTGGACCATGAGCCACCATGAAAGGAACGAGTTCAGGGACGAGCATCTGGTCGCGGTAAGCAGCAGCTGTGAGGTTTCCACGGATGACCAGAAGTCGGGAACGGTTGTTCCCACAGAAAGCAGCCCACACCATGCAACTTCCGCCCCCGAATCTGTCAGCTTCCTGTACACAACATTGGGCATACCGTTCACGACGTCGTCTCCACACTCTATGCCTGCCGTCCGCGAATCTGAGGGTAAACCTGGGATTCATTGCTAAAGACGACTCGATTCCAGTCTCTCTGGGTCCATCGGAGGTGACGTTGGGCCCACAGCAGACGTTGACGTTGATGAAACGGCGTCAATATTGGCCCACGATATGGACGTCGAGAATAGAGATTGGCAGCCCGCAACCGATTTCGAATGGTCTGTGAGGACAGTCGACCTCTAAACATCTCAGCCCTGGTTCGTGTAGCCGGCAGAAATCTGTCACGTAGGTGACGTAGGACGATTTGACGGTCGTCTGCTCGTGACGTCACACGTAGACGACCCGACCTTGGGCGATCAGAAGTGGTGCCAGTTTGTTGTAGACGAACTCGCAAGTCATACACAGTACGACGGCTGCATCCCATTGCTCTTGCGACGTCAATAACTGATCTTCCCGCTTGCAACATGCCAACGGCACGTTCACGTTGCACATTTGACAATCGTGGCATTAAGAGTACCGTTAGAACTGTGGTTTAAAAGTGTTTTTTGAATTCTTGAGGCCAATGCAAACACGTGCATATGAAGAAAACTTCGATGCGAAGATCACGTGATCGACTGCACGTGCAAAACCTGATTTGGCACTAACGTCATTTGCACGACGAATGGATGGGTTTGAGTGGGTTTTGCTAACGTTTTTCTAGAGTCGAAAGATAGGGATCCCATTTCGGATACATAGATGTATCATCAGAGAAAAATTATTCATTATTTTTCAAATTACATTTTGTGAAGTTTCTTTTTTTGACTCAGTATATTAAAGATGAATAAAGTTAGAAATTAAAACACCTGTTGACGAAGAACAGTAAAACTACTAGTGTATCACATATATCCATTTAAAACTAGCAATTAAATCTAAAATATTTGAACTATAAATGACAATACAATATAAGGACTAAAGGTAGATCAACATACTAGGGAACATGGGGACTTACAGTACATTTGCTTCCTGCATGGACCCTAGCTGGATTTACACCATCCCTTCAGCTGTCAGCAAGTTTAGACAATAACACATATTCTACGCTTAAATATAATGGTATGTTTAAATTTACTTTGAATGTTTTGGGACATACGTACCCTCTCAGGAGGACAATAATTTTACAATGCTTCAATCCCCTGTGAGGATACAGCCACTTACAACCTCAGCTGCTCAACTAAACTACCAATTTTAAAATATTTATCTAATTACAATTCATTCAACAAATCTAATTCTATTAAAAATGCACTAACTAAGTGAGAACTGATATTAGTAAAAAAGATCCTGCATCGTTCGTGATTTGAAATAGTTATCTCTTGTGTTGGAATATTCAATACAGCCAAGCAAGACATGTTTGACCGTGATTCGTTCATCACAAGGGATGCAAAACGGAGGAACCTCACCTTTTAATAGGTATTCATGAGTATATCTAGTATGGCCAATACGACATCGTCGTATGATGACCTCTTCAAATCGGGACTGACAACCCAAGTAGGTATAACCAACATAAGGTTTTATTGCATGTAATTTATTAAGTCCCACTTGAGTGTCCCACTTCTTCTGCATCAGATCGCGGATATAACATCTGATGACTGCTTTATAATCAGAGTATTGAATAAGAAGTGGTGTCACAGATTTGTTGAGTGCTGCCATTGTATTCCCAGAAATGCCAACATGGCTGGGTAACCAACAAAAGACGATGTCGTATTGGCCAGTAGCAAGCTCATTATATAATTCAATAATTTCTATTAAAAGTGGATGTTTACAAGAAAGATTTTGTATAGCCTGAAGGCAAGAAAGAGAGTCAGAAAAGATTATATATTGTTTCTGTTTAGGGTGTCTTTCAATATATTTAAAATCTGTTAATATGGCGTTTGCTTCGGCTGTAAAAATAGAGCTGTTATCTGGTATTCTAGAAGACATTCTTCTAGATCCAATGACAGTGGCACATGCCACCGCGCCACCATCCTTGGACCCATCTGTAAATAAGGCTCTATATGCATTATATTTACTTTTTAGAAGATTATATTCTTGTTTAATTGTAATTCATTAGTATGGGATTTTTTAAACGTTGTCAGTGTTAGGTCAATTGTGGCCTCACTATTTGCCAAGGAGGAGAAGAAAGAAGACGGGAAGGAGATATATTTTGCAGCTGAATACAAGCAGCAGAAATGAATGGTTTCATTCTGTGCCCAAGAGGCGGAACAAGAGAAGACTTTTTGTTGTACAAATCCTCATAAAGAGGATTGAAAACACAGTTAAATGCAGGATTAGACTCGTTAGAATAGAGTTTTGTTATATACTGTAACGATAATTTTATACGACGTTGGTTAAGTGATGGCTCATCGGCCTCAACATAGAGATGATGCTAAAGTGAGTGCATGTGTCCCAATATATATCATACAGGCCAAAACATTGTAAAAAATGCTTGACACTGAGCTTTTAAAGATGCTTCCATGGTGTCACGGCGCCAACTACCGTCCAGGGAGACTAGACGGATAATTATCCACAATAGTAAGCAAATACACAACCCGATTGTTGGATACAACAATTTATTAAAGGTAAGTACCCGCTCATGCATGAATGAACTTGCACCCCAAGCACAACAACAAGCCGCTAAAAACAACAAGTAGCTAGCTAAGTAAACTCGCCTTAATAGACTAATTCAGGGATCAGACCATATATTGACTGGTGACAGCTAATAAGTGGGGATAATAATAATAATAATAATAATAATAATAATAATAATAATAATAATAGTTTATTATAGTGTCATGTCTTATAAATGATGAGACAGCATAGTACAGCATATAAAATGCAAACACCAGGCCTCGAGAGGCCGAAATGACACCTTAAAAAAGAATATTGCCAATACTTAAAATGCGTTTAAAAAATATGAGAATATTGTTAATAAGGACCTAACTACTGCCACTTACAGGGAGAGTATCGGGCCAATAAACATTTAACACCCCAAGTGATCAATAGGACAAAGTTCCCAAGTTCGGTCCTCAGGTCGTCCCATGATGCGGGGGATTGACAACAGGTAGCAGGCCGACATGCACACAAGTCTAGTATTTCCCAACTGTGTTGGATAACTGGCCACCGCGCGGAAAGTCGCAGAGGACAATACCCGACGCATCCAGCCTCTGACCAGCAAAGAAGTGTGCTAATACTTGAGTACTGTTTCGTGGTCCAATACCTAAGAAGTATTGAATACTACTAAGCTGATGCTGTTACTGTTAGATTTCATTATTTAGGCATGTTACAAGCCAGTTCAGGGGCGAGTAGAGTTATCTCCCTTGGACTAGTCATTGTATAATTACAACAGGGAGCAATCATTTAACCACGTAACAGGTACATAAACGACTATAACTAACTTGTAAGCTTATGTACAGTGAAGGGGAATACATGTATAAGAAAAGCGTGAGCTCTACTACAAATAGATAGAGGTGGATATTGAGACAATAGTTTGTACAATTTTGTAGTTAGCAAAAACCCTGATAAAATAAGGGGTACACGTATGGAGCGGCGTAAACGCTTATATCTCCCTTATAAAAACAGATACAGTGACGGGAGACACATATGCAAAAAGATAGTAAACTCCTCTACAAAAGGATACATAAATGTTAATTACAATGCATAACAAGCAAAAATTAGCAACAGGGGACGCACGGCTCAACTAGATGAGCTGAATAAACAAATGCGCGGGCACTTACGGAAATGTTGCGTAACACACGCGAGTCGCGTGACACATGGCAAACACAAAGGTAGCAAAGATGCAAGTGAAACTGTTCAGATGTTATCGTTACTGATATACTTTGTTTAATATTCATATGGGCGGTGGGGTAGCCTAGTGGTTAAAGCGTCCGCTCATCACGCCGAAGACCCGGGTTCGATTCCCCACATGGACACAAAGTGTGAAGCCCATTTCTGGTGTCCCCGCCGTGATATTACTGGAATATTGCTAAAAGCAGCGTAAAACCATACTCAGTCAGTTAATATTCATATCTGTGCAGTCAAAACTTCTGGCATGTGTTTAGCGTGTTCTAAACTAAGACATTAAATGTATATACATTAACTGTTCTGCACGTCCCACATATACTATCAACTGCATGTCAAGTCAGCGGAGATCTATCATAGTATTCCTGCAGGCACGGTGGTATTTTGTTGTGACATTGTTTCGGTGAGATCGAGAAACGAGTTCTGGTCATATGGCTGGGTGAACATGATAACATTAGCCCACAGGATTTTATAGTAGGTGTACGTTCAGCGACCCAATTTTACTCATATGCGACTACATGTGTGATTGGTCTGATTGGTGAACACGTCTTTCATTTGTTGACGAGACAGTTAGTAATTGTTTGTAAGATTATCACACAAGTCGCCCCTGTTGAAATCGGGGAAGAAGCATGCCCCAATGACCATGTAAGTAAGTACACCATTGTATGAAATATGACTGTTTCTGTTGCAGGTTCCATCCCTGAACGAACAAACCCAAGACTCAATGGCGTGGTTTTGACCACTGTGTTGTTTTTCTCCATCACTGGGACTCTCACCGGTAGGAAGTTTAATAGGTGTTATTGGTATGCTATGCCCATGGAGGTAGCAAAAAGTCCCAATGGTCCATAGTATGGTGGTCTGTCGTCAGTTGCTGGCCATCTACAGCCCGTTTTATGTTGCATTGTTCTGAGAGAAATAAAAGTTTAGCAATATTTGCAAGTTTTAATTTCTGTTTCTGTGATATACTAGTGATTTTTTTACTGTCCTTCGTTGACAGGTGTTGATAATATGAATGTCTTTATAATGAATTTAGAGCTTGTTTAAGTCAATATGTGGCTGAAATACTGCCGATGTGACTTAAAAGTTTAACTCACTCACTATTGGTATGCGGCCATTAGTATCAATTATGCGTCTGATACTATTTTCCAAGTTGTGCTTGACATGTTCTGGATATAACAGTGACATCGTGTATCATGTATGATTAGCTGGGACCAAATATTATGTGGAATTAACCAAGAAGTCAGTCACGGAATGGGGAAACATTTTCTTTTCTTTTCATATTTTCATATATATAAGAACATATACCTACAGTATCAAAACATGACGTAATTTCCTTATTTTCATTATACCTTCAGATGCCGAATGTCACTGTAACACTGCAGCTGCCTGTGCCGTGTTCCCCTCTACTCCCTGTAGCCAGGTCGGTGATCCAGACAGATGTCAGCAAGGATGGTACGGTTCCCATTGCCAGAGACGTGAGTCGATGACATTTGTATTTGGTTGATATCGATGTGCAATATCATCGAAATCGTCCGGTTAATATCAAACAAGGTCATTCACTATAGAAATCAATATAAAACATGGAGTACGTTTGTAGTGTACTTAGATATACAAACACACCAAATAATGACAAATCACCCTGGCCATAATATGTCGCATATTACCCTCAGATAGACCCGGAACATTGGAACGCAAACTTTGTACTGATTGCGCCTAGTCGATATGACCCAAGTAGAGTTGTTTATAAATTAGTTATATTGTTGTATTTAACTCATTATTCCAAAATTAGCACAAGATAAAAAAAAACGTGTATGGACGTTTTTGGATCTAGTTATTTTAGGTACCTGAACAGTTCAGAAAAAGCAAAGATGCCAGCTTGATGACTACCTCCAATCCTCATTGAGGCATAACAGGTCAAATGTTTTTGAATGTTAATTAAACTCAAAGACTTCTGATGACCTATAATAGTCTATGATGGGGAGACATTATGATATTGTTCATGCTATTATACGCATCCTTTTATTTCCTAATTTGTTTATTTAACACTTTGGTGAAAGCTATTGGTTTCTTATACATGTCGTTTCAATCTTACGAATCGGAGGTCCGTTTCCGAAGAAACATTTTTGCGATATACATGGACGAGTTTCGTATGAGACTCTCAGCTATGTACGCTTAACATAATCAGTTGTTGCGAAGATAAAAATAATTTCATATCATAGTCAGTGGTGTCTGTATTCTATTTCGAAATGCTAGTTGAATCTGTAATGCGTATTCCACGTTCCGAAGATCAGATATGTTAAGACAAATAGATACAATTTTCACGGCTTTACATTAACTGTTATCACATAATGAAACAAACGCCCCCCATTTCCACCAGGCCTTATCTGTTTATGGTATTGTGCATGGTTTCTGCGGGAAATATTGCTGTCGGAAGTCGTGCCACGCAGAGCAGTACATTCACTGAATACAGTTACAGGACAGGGTATACACAACAACGATACGAAGCCAGGTACGGCGTAGATGGCAGAGCTACCACCAACTTCTACAGCACACCATTCATATGTACACACACGGCCACAGGAGATCCACATCCAACTTGGACTGTTCAACTGAACAACTCTAACACAGACAAGATACAACACATTAAGCTGTATCTACGTAAGGGCTGTGAGGATGGGTGGAAAATGTATATTATATTTTAGTTTTCAATAATAAATAATATTGTGCACAATTACCCATTATTCTCTGTGACTAAATCATCATTAAAACATCATGTATTGTTGGTGTATTCCTTGTAATGCTTGATAACAGGTGCGTGCGGATGTGTTGTTATCATGGCTACTTGGGGTCCTCAGTCAACACTTGTTTGTCCTTTTGGATTTGTGTTTGTGCATACTAATACTTGCTGTACCTTTTCACATGTCGCCCATCTATCTATTGCCTTATCAAATGAGACATCTGACACCAAAGAATATACATTTTCACTTTGAATTGCAGTCTTGGACAGAAACAAGGGCATGAAGATATATGTCGGTGGTCAGCTATGCTTCCAGTGGTCAAAGGACACATACCCACCTGCTATAGCTGACGTCAAATGTCAACAAGCACGGACAGGAAACAACCCCACTATACAGACAAGCGATTATCTCGCGTTGTGCGAGGTGCAGATATTTGGTTGGTTAAAATACATATATGAACGTGTGAGCACGATGTTTGATTTAAGCATTTTAAAAATAGAAACCGGGATATGTGAAAAGACGGCTGCTAAATGTAAAGTGCAAGTCTGAAGTCAACTCTGACAATTTTCTGAGCGAAGTGATGAAAAAGCAATAATTCAAACCCTCGATCATCATAAGGCTGCACTCAAGGATTCTTACCTGAAGCTGGGCAAATATGTTGTCTAAACGACATTATAGATAATAACGCTCTCAATGAAACAGTAGATGTAATAGTAGATTTTGTTCCTGTTCTTTTCTCATCACGGTGTTACTTTTTTACTGTTCGAATTCTTGTTCCCAATTTGGATAATATATTGTTATCACGTTTCAGTGTGCAGTGGCGGTTAGTTTGGTGAGGACTGTGACAAACAGTGTCACTGTTCACAAAACAAAGAAGTATGTGACAAGATCTCTGGACAGTGTCTGAGTGCATGTGCTCTAGGGTACATGGGGACCGACTGCCAAACAGGTACAGCCTCACATAGATTGGATTCCGTTATATTGACACCTGTAGTTGTGTACGCTACATAGTGTTGTGGAGGTAAATCCACCCAAACATGAGTCAGTTGAGGAAATATGTTGTCTGTGACAAACTAGTAAATAGGTTAGGGGTCTGAGACCCTCGCAAAAAGGCACTCGAGAAGATTCGGGTTAGAATTGATCTTCAGTAACTCGTGTTTGTCGTAAGAGGCGACTAACGGATCGGGTGGTCAGGCTCGCTGACTTGGTTGACACATGGTATTGTATCCCAATTGCGTAGATCGATGCTCATGCTGTTGATCACTGGATTGTCTGGTTCAGACTCGATTATTTACAGACCGCCGCCATATAGCTGGAATATTGCTGAGTGTGGCGTAAAACTAAACTCACTCACTCGCAAAAAAGACGGGAGTCAGGAACGTGCGTTATATACATTGTTGTATTTACTGCTATGATCCTTAACATTCATATTCCCCTTTAACTGTATAAAGTGCAACGTGTAAACTGTGTTAAATTATGTCAGTCAATATATATTAAGCGGGTGGAATGTAAATCATTACATGTCTAGGAAAGCATCGAAAACATTAAGACATCGTCAATACTTTTTGTCAGCTCCAATTAAGTCTTACTTACATACACTTTTGGTACGTGCAAGGCGTTTGTGAATAACATGTGCCCTCTTCGTAAATCCCGATAATGTCTCAGGAACATTTGCATATCATATTATCATAAACAGTAATGATAAATACGGTTTATGTCAATTGTCTGATTTAGTTGAACAACTGATTCATTTACTTCATGTGCAGCGTGTCCAGATGGTTACTACGGAAATTGCACCTCCAAGTGTGGAAACTGCCTCAACGCCGCTGATTGTAACAAGACAACAGGCATCGGTCCTGGAGGTTGTGCAGCTTTCTGTGTTCTGTGTGCTCTCATCGGCCTATTTAATATAACTTCAGCTTTGTCTGGCAATATGGTGTTTAACTTACGGTTGTTATATCCATAGAAAAGTTAAATGTACATGTTAATCTTCACGACGGTACAAAGAACCAACGGTGCCAACCACTGAATTTCCTCCTTTGTTCCTTGTCTTAATGCTATATGGTCAGTATGTCAAGATGGATGGTAATGTATGAACTGTGGACTCTCAGTATGCACACTGTGTTGGTAGTTATGTGTGTAACAGGTCAACAGGAATGTGCATTAGAGAATGTGCAGAAGGATTGATGAACGACACCTTTGTTGAACTTCACTGTACACAATGTAACATATTCTGAACCGCAAAAGAAGCACGAAACGATAGAGGTTTCTTATACTGCAAACTTTAATTCGCTCTAATTAACAATCAATACGGAAGATTGCGTTTAAACTTGACAATTTTGGTTAACACATGTTTCTTTTGCGGTGCAGTATATGTTATATTTGCGACTACATTTTCTTAGTAAAATACGGATTCTAGTACTTTTGTTGGGTTGAGTCCCATCCGGGATTCGAACCCACACGATCAGAGTCAGGCACCTAATAGCCAGCAGGCCAAGCCAGCCGCCTAACCCGCTTAGCCACTGCGAGTTCTGTTACATTTGATTACTTTCTAAATGACATTGTGTAATCATTCAATGTATACAGTACAGTTGTTATACTGTATACTTATTGCTTGATTTGTCATGTTCATGTACACAATTCAATAATATATAAATATACTTATGCCTTTCATGATAGAATAATGGTATAACTTTCTTTGTTTCTAAATAAATAGTTACACTACTCTATTAACCTAACGATAGTGTTTGTAAATTTCTACTTTTGGCCATCGACATGTGATCAACATCCCGTGACTTGATGTTTCTAATGTTCTCAATTCCATCTGATCAAATGTGAATTAGAGGATGTCAGGTACATTTTCATGGGCGTCCTTTGATCTAATGTTAACAAAGTAACTGAAACAATTTGTTTATATTCACAGCATGTACAGATGGCTACTATGGTCCGAAGTGTGGCTTCCAGTGTGGCAACTGTGTGGATGGTGATGTTTGCATCCAGACAAATGGAACATGTCCTGGAGGATGTGCAGCGGGGTGGATTAATGACACGTGTAATCAAGGTTATGCACCCCTGTGCATTGTATGAGATGTAAACACATGGAAACATGAAGCGGACAGACAAGATACACTATCAAGTTCTGTCAAGTGTTTCGTTTAGAGGTGAAAGGCTAAAATATGTCTTTCCTTTTATACTGTTTAATACTCGTGAACACAACAATTGCAATGAAAACAGTCTCTAACGGGGACGGTAATATGATGTTCTTACTGACATTAGCATACCCACCTGATCAGGTCAAGTATGTGGTTATCAAAGTTCAGTCTGTGCATGAATTTAACTTCAACGTTGACGGGTATCGTTTATAACACAGGTATAAACTTACGTATAATCTAACACAAACAATCACAAGTTCATGTGTCTTGGTGATACCATGCTGGTTATTTCAGTGTGTGAAGACGGGAGGTACGGCAGCGGTTGTACGTCAGAATGTGGTCCCTGCAGGAACGGCACAGTATGTGACAAAACTAACGGAACCTGCGGGAGTGGATGTAATGGAGGGTATTCAGGTGCCCGTTGTGAGCGTAAGTATGTGCATACGTGTCTGAACTTGGAAAGGAAAAGATGTCGAGATACACAGGGAATATATTACCTCTCGTTACAATCATAATCACTTTGTATCAATATCTGGAAACTGGAAACCCTAAAATACCGATTGCAGGATTACTATCGAACCAGTTATTGTCGCCTATATCGCAATGCTGTTCGTATGATATGTTGACCTTGTAAGTGTTACATATATATGGCACAAATTTGAAGGTTTTAATCTATTTACATTTGTACGTACACATACCTATATTGTTAAAACATAGACAGACAGAGACAGACAGAGTTTATTTGCAGTAAAAGGCCATAGGCCCAAAATACATTCAAAGGAAATGTCAGTGTAGTCAGGGGCACAATGTGCTTTCATGTGTGTTTATAATAATCCTTTTAACATAAAATAGATACAAGGCAACAGATTTTACAGTGTCTACATTAGTATTCTTGAAAAGATTTGCTAAAGAATATACAGTATAAGGCTTTTAACACATTTGGTAATAAACCTCTCTTAGGTGTGAATAGGACTCACAAATGAACAGTACATGGAATTCATCTTCAATATAGGTAAGACCTTTAGATTTGCATGATATACAAAATCTTTGATTATAATCAGTGTTGTTATAACGCCCAGTTTCCACAGCTATTTTAAAATTACTACACCTAAATTGTGCTAAAACAGCTCTTAAATGTGTAGAAAGGTTAAACGATAAATAACATTCAACATTTAACGCTGATTTAAAATACTGATAATAGTTGCATTTGGAAGAATTACTCAGAGAAGAGTACCAGGACTGTTTTAAATTATCTGATAATCTTTGTTTAAATAAGCTTATAAACATCTTTACATCACCAACATCTTGGCTCAACCAAACATATCCAAAACCAAAATTAAACAGAAGATTTTTAACTTTTGATGCCCATGTAGTTCTACCACTATCATCTAAAGACTTGAGCATAAGGTAGCTTTGAAAAGGTAATCTGTCATGAGGAAGTTGTAACAATCTACACCAATATTTGATTACTCGGGTCATATAATTAAGTTGCAGGGGCAATCTGCCACATTCACCCAGGGCCATGGAATTACAAGATGTCCTATTTATTTTCAGATACTTATTACAAAAATCAAGCTGTACCGATTCAATACTTTTACAATAGGAAGTTCCCCATATTTCTGATCCATAGCATAATATTGGTGTGATCAGTGCATCAAAAATTTTGAATAGATCTATACAGTTAATGTTTCCGAATTTCCTTTGAAAGTGATTAATTGATAAAATCGCCTTTCTAGCTTGAGAAGCTAAACATAATTGTGCCCTGGACCAAACAAGTTTTGGTGTAAATATGATGCCAAGATATTTATAAAAAGATACTGTTTCTATTTGTTCCCCATTAAAATACCACTTTTCATAAGATCTAAGAGGCCCACCATTTCTGAAAACAACCACTTTTGTTTTCTTAAGGTTTACTTTCATTCCTGTTTCCTCGCAAAATAATTCAAGGGCATTTATCTTTTTCTGCAGTTGAATACAAGTGTCCGAAAGAGCCGAAACATCATCAGCAAACATAAGGGCATACACATTATTGAAAACAGCATTGACAAATATTCCCTTACCACCTTCATTTTCCATAATTGTGCATAAATGATTAATAAATATTATAAATATCTGAGGGCTTAAAATGCATCCCTGGCGGGTACCGACATTACAAGAAAATTGCTTAGAAAGTCCCTCAGGGGTTCTAATGCAGGCACATAGTGAATTATACATACATGTGATAATATCTAAGAACTTCCCATCTAATCCAACCTTATGAAGAGAATCTATAAGTATATCATGTTTAAGAGTATCGAAAGCTTTTGAGAAATCGATAAAAAGACAATAAAATCTGCCCTGTTTTTTTACATGAATATTTCTGTATGACAGCCTGAAGTGTAAAAATGTGGTCTGTTGTAGAATAGTTTTCCCTAAAGCCAGCCTGATATTCACAAATGATATTATTTAAATCACACCAGATTTTTAATCTTTTATTTAGAATTGATGTAAATAATTTACAAAGGGAATCAATGAGGGATATACCACGATAATTATCGGGGTCGTTCTTGTCGCCAGATTTCAACAAAGGGCAAATAATGCTCTTACCCCAACTGGGAGGGAAATAGCCAGAGTCATAAATTCTGTTGAAAAGAACAGTGAGAGTAGGAACAATGAAACATCTCGACTCCTTTAGAAATTCATTTGCAATTCCGTCTGGACCAGGTCTTTACTGACTGGCAAAGAGAGAATAGTTGTAGATATTTCTTGTTCGGAAAATGGTTGGTTCAAAAAAGAATCATTGTTGTTTGTAGATTGTAAAGGTGAAGGTAAATGTTCTGGTGTGTTTTGCGAAGTATTAATGCATAACAGATTTGAGAAATGATCTGTCCACTGTTGGCATGTGATATTGGGTGAAAGTTGTGGTGAAGATCTGTAATTTTTAAGTGTTTTCCAAAATAATTTAGGGTTGGTGCTTGCTGCTACTAGTTTATCTTTCTGTTTATTTTGGAAATTTAATCTTTTTTGCTTGAATGTACATTTGAAGAGTGTTTGTAACTGTCTGAAGATATTAAAGTCTGCATTGTGATCTCTATGGGCTCTGAGTGCTGCATATTTGTCATGCTTTAAGTTTTCTAAGGAATGCACTGTTTTCATCCTTGCACCACATATATTTTGTCCATTTATCCTGTTTACCCTCTTGTACATTACTGTTTGAGGTAAGCGTATTAGAATAAGCAGTGGAGGGGAGTTTACTGTTAAGTGTGTTGATATTGAGTGTGCATGACAGTGGAAAGTGACATGAGTTATCTAATGTGCCGACATTAAACTGCGTGATGAAAGGGAATAGTGACGAAGAAGCTAGCATGTAGTCAACTACACTGCAACCGTTATAAGTAAAGCATGTGAATTGACCACATAAATCATTTGCTAATCTACCATTTAAGGCATGAATGCCAAAAGTGCAACATAATTCAGCAAGTTTTTTCCCATAATTATTATAAACCTGATCTCTAGAAGATCGAGGCATATCAAATGTATCTTTGGGATAATCATCATTTTCATATACACAGTCAATATTATCATCTGGTATATAATCAAAGAAGTCTTTCATTCTAGCATTCAGGTCACCCCCTAAAAACAGATGTTTGTCAGGGTGATCTGCAGTGATTGTGCACAGATAATCTTCAAGTACTGACATGCCATCAGTGTCACTACCCTTATATATGGGAGAGTTTTCTGGCGACAAATATGGGAATATCAAAATAGTGTCCATTTCCCCATCCATAACTAGTTGTGTAGAACAGAAGCACAACACAATTTTCGAAAATTAGTGTAGATACGGCTAATGAGACCGCTGGAAAATAAGTGGTCCTTAATCAAAACAGTAATGCCGCCGCTATATCGGCCAAGCCGATGCAGTTTTTCACGCACACAGTTTATTGTTGTATAGCCGACAAGAAAATCGCTGAACTCATTGGCTTTGCGTACGAACGACTCACAGAAACTAATAATGTCGAGCTTGGCACAATATTCTTTAATGGGAGATAACGGATTGTCGTATTTATGCAAACCTTCAATGTTCCAGACAAGAATATTTATTCCATGTTTGTTTACATCAGGGCCTTGGCCACTTCCCTCATTTGTTCGGATTGAGAGTGGCCTCCTTGCTGTTGATCTGCTTCCGGGGTGTGTCGATCAGCTGATGGTGTAAACAAAGATCCACGTGGTGTAGCTGAAGCTGCGTCGGTGTATGAAGAGGGTTGGCTGGTAGGTGAATGAGGGAAGGAGGAAGTTCTACCTGCAACCTGAACAATGTCTTTCTTTGCTTCTATCGTACACAAAAGAAGCTCCGTCCACGATAAGTTTGTTGTGTCGGATTTTCACCCTCCGGTTTTCGTCTCGAGCTTGGACAAACCAGGGTGAAAGAGCACGTCTTTCTTCACGGACTTTTCGAGTGAAGTCCTCTGTGACACGGACGTCCTTACCGCTCAGTTCTTTCTTGGATTTCATGTAGACAGCACTTTTATCAGATGTTCTCATGAAGTTTGCTATTATTGGTGAAGTAGTTTTAGTAGGATTCAGACGGTGAGCTCTTACTATCACAATGTTGTTGATATCCTGTCTGCTCATGTGCAGCGAGTCCTCCATGAAATCACGCACTACATCCTCGGTTTGTTCCCAGGTTTCCTAAGTAAATATATTCATGTAACTCTCGCATATTGAAAGCAAAATAACATGGAATGTGTAAATGTAAAAATGTAAGTTTATCATACTGTAAGTTTCAACGTCATATATATATATATATATAAAATTTTGCTAACGTGTGTTCACTAAACAGATATTGTGGTACTACTAGTCATGCCTTTTTCGTATAAACCCTGGTTTGGTATTGCATGACTAATGGCAAATGACACACTTTTGTTGTGTGTAATGGAATTATCATCTGTGAGAGAAGAAGGTTATTCACAGCTTCGTTAACGTTTTTAAACAAGGCAGCCAGAAAGACACCCGACACCAGCGAGCAAGGACGATGAAGACAAAGACGTAAACCTATCAGTTGAAGCTGAACTGGACGTAGATAACGACGCTGCTGACACCTACTACAGCTTTGTACCGCCTCACATGACGCTGGACACTCTAAAACAGAGTATAACTGTAAAGAAAGCGAAGCCTTAGTTTTCAACAGAATTTCAGGTTTGTTAAAACGATATACGCATCCTGCTTGTACATTCCACTTGGGCTGTGAAAATGAACAACTTCAAGTGACAAAGACAAGTGTTTAAACTGGATCGTTATATGGAAATCAAGGGTTCGATGCTCTAGACCAGTGGTATTACTATAGCTGGAAGACCTCATAATTTGTATCACAGAATCTGCTATAATTGGTCTCTTTATACAGTTTGAGGTATCGTATGGTTACCATTTCTACCAAATACAACGTGTCATACAATGATTAAATGCAGATATTGTTTATATATTGTAATGGTCATCACGAATACTTAGATATTATTCCTGCATTTTATAATTGCAAAATTCTTAGTTATAAAAGCTTGTAAATGATTAGGCATCATGACATATCTCTTAGGTATTTCCCATCTGTATTTTTGGCACTGTTTAGGGCAGTGCAGAAATTATTATTATAATTATCGTGTAATTAGTTTTGCAGCTATATACGAGTATTATTGGCAACCTTGTTTTCACGTAATTCAGTGTTTTGAAATCTGTTTTGTTAAGAAATCTAGCAAAAGATCGTAGCATGTTGTTTTGGGCATTATAACATATCGCATTCGTAAAACATCATAAGCTAGTGCCATCACAATACGCTATTTGTTTAGAACACAGTTGTACTTTGTAGGAGTCAATGTCAACAACGTCGCCTGTAAGAACGATCTTGTTTACCTTTTCAAGAGTTTTTGAATTGACCGTAACTTTTTTACATTTCCTCGCTCTAAGCGTCCAGTTACGAAAATTAACTATCGGATATGAATTAATCTTACCTTGTCCTTCGACAAACTGATCATAGTCCCTTGACACTCGTTATTTATCCATTCTTTGGTGAATTTGTGATCAGGGCCGAGCTACGCGTTTCGGTGACGCCCGCCATTTTAACTTTGTGACAGCCAGTCTATTTCGCAACGGGGTTACCGCTACTTTTGACTCAGATTAGTGTTTTGCATTATAAAGTGTATGTAATCTTGTGAATTACGTACAGAGGCACCCAGGATTGTATTTGGTGATGTATCAGGTCATGTTTCAATAGCCGATGTTAATTCTGACAACGGGAACTATGTGATTCTCACTGTTGTATTCATACGCGATGTTCAGCATCATTATTTATGAACGTGTTTTTCATAAATATGACTTCCTTTGCCACTGTCAAATTGTATAAGGGACTGAGTCATAGTTTTAAACATCTTATATGTCAGATAAACTCCAACTGCCTCCTGACATCTGTAATCGTCCTCTTTGAATGGTCCATCATAAATTCCCAGCCGATGTTGCTTGTGGTTATTACTTCCCCTCAGCAGGCAGCAAGGACGTAGCAAGACGTAGAGACGCAATTGTTGATCTTATGATATTGGAAGGCATTTAATGAATTAATTAGAAATAATTGATTGGTTGGTAAAAATAGTCATTTTCCCACCTGATTACCTCCTGAGATAATTCGCCTTCCTCTTTATTTCAGTGGTTTCATGTTATGAAAGTAGATCCCTCCAAAGAATAAAGAAGTAACGGGACGTAATATCTCGTAATGTAATTGGTCTAGAAGTGACATGTGAACATTTTCTCACACCTTTTAATACGACTGAGATCCATGTTGGGTCATTCTGACATTGGCAGTCTACAGGTCAGTCTCAAACCAAGGGCAGATAATTCAGCCCAAAAGTTCCCCTTGTCCTTACATAATTATAACAGCTGATGCTATTAGTTGACTGCACTTTTTGAAAACAGACACAAATTATTATCTTAGTAACTATGAAGTTATTAAGATTACCCAGATAACTAAGCCATCACTATATCTATATAACAGTAAAGTCATAGGTCATACTTATATTGCCCTAGCACTGGTCCATTCACAAAAACCTTAAGCTTGAGAGGGATCTACTTATTAAAAAAGCATTGTGCTGAACATTTATACCCATGAATAAAAAGCTATTCATTGAAAAGAAGTGTTTGGGTCTACCTGAAAACAGGACTGACAAGGTGTATTAGAAGTTTGAGTACACACACACACACACACACACACACACACACACACACACACACACACACACACACACACACACACACACACACACACACACACACACACACACACACACACATATATATATATGTCATGTATATCACAAATACATGCATGTCCGTAACGCACAGGACAAAGCTCTGCTTAATTGCGACACAACACAGAGCGAAATAGGAACATGTACATGAATTTTCAAGACTGGAAAGGAGCCGTCAATAGACAGTTACAACTAAATACCTTTTACGATTTCATATAAAAACGACACTTAAGTAAAGTAGTTTAAGACTAGTGAGTGTATATGTTTACAACCGTTTGCTAACTTACCACGTGTCTTATAGGCCATTCCATATGGAGCAAAACACCCACATGACGTCGGCAAGCAGCTTGAAAACAAGATGAAGAACCGCTTCCTTGCTCTGTATCCATGTAAGGTGATAACTGCAGATCAGACCGCAAATTAATAAACACTGCTAATATTTGACCTATGTATGTACTTATGTATGCTGTGAGTGTAACATCCATACATTAATATTAAAGAACAAAGAATATTTTACATGAAAACATATATAGGTTCAAAGCAAGTATATCACGACTACTTCAAAGCAACTTTTAGGTATTACTGCAAATATACAGAAGGTTCCAGCTGACTGTTGTGTACTCCAGATGATGAATCGAGGATAGTGTTGGCAGATGGGGAGGACTACATCAATGCCAATTACATCTATGTAAGTAACACTATGTAATCTTTATACTGTCAACAGAGAATAATAAACCTCTAGTGTTTTCTACTAAATGTAAAAGCAAAATTGTGCTGGACATTGGGTAGGTCTCGAACACGATGCAATAGTCTCACCAAAGTAATACAAGATTTCGCGTGACATTATGATGATTCTGGAAAACATTAACCAGGTGAAATCACTTATACCAGTGTAACATAATGTACACATTGTTATATTGAGGGTGAGGTTCATGTCATTTATTCAGCATATGCCTACAAATTGTAAACATATTTCATATTATTTTTCAGGGTTATGATGATACTCAGAAGTATATAGCCACACAAGGTACGTTAGATGTATCATTATTAGTTGTACAATACGCGTGTGTTGAATGGGCCGGCTTGCCTTGTAAATACTAGATGACTTTCTTAGACCTAAAGAAAATGTATTAACCCCACAGGACCCAAGCCGGGAATAGTCATTGACTTCTGGCGGATGGTGTGGCAGGAGGACGTCTCACAGATAGTCATACTGACGAGGCTGATGGAGGTGAACAAGGTAGGATGTGTTTCATGTTAGCTCCAAGGTTTCATTGAACGTTTAGTGAATTATCTACATGTCTACATACTGATAATATGTGTCAATGTATCCTGAGAGTGGTGATAGGTTCCAGAGCAAAGGGTGAACTAATCCAATGCATTTTATTTTCAAGAAAAAAAGTGCAAAATATTGGCCTGATGCGACCAAGACCGAAAGCTACGGAAACATCCAGGTTAATATCAAGGGTGTGGCAACAAGAGCTGATTACACAATTTCTACTTTCCTGGTACAATGTTCTGTTAGTGTATGCATTTTGTGATGGAATATCTTACACTGTTTCTAGTCATTATAGTTGTCACTTTAATGAAAAAGTACGAGCATGTTATTACAATCAAGGAAATTAAAATACAACAACAAATCTCCTGTGTGGTCTTTATTTTCCCTCCACAAGACTCATTTGTGAAACATGTATTAACATGGTGAACGTTTATGTAAATGTCAGGTTTTCTCTGCTTAATCTGATCTGAATCAGCATAAAAATACTATGTTTCTTTATTTACTTTCTGTGTGCATCTATTTTTTTGTCTGATGCGTAATGTGTTGTATGCTAATAACATCTTGATTTATTAATTGATAAGTTGATTTCTTCATTGTAATTCTGCACAACACAGGGTGTCGAGAGAACTGTGACGCACTATCACTTCACCTCTTGGCCTGACCACGGTGTTCCTTCTGCTCCTGCCCTCGTCAACTTCTGGAGACTGGTCAAACAGGGGGATATGGATATGGGACCTATGGTGGTGCACTGCAGGAATGTTGGACAGTGAGACTGATACCTAATATAACGTGGACGTACACTATCTCATTAAAGGACAGATTCTAGTTCTTGTTGCTGGGCCACTTACGGGAATCCCAGCATTAAAAAATATTATTTGAGCATTTTCATGATTTGTATCCAACCGCTTACTGAAAGTGCCACTGTAGTATCATGGAAGAATGGCCACCTGTGGTCCTGGAGGCGTCATTCACGTTACCCCAGCCGTCTTTTCGTGTGACGATTACAGAGAAGGAAGCCCATATTGTTGAATGATCTTCCTCTAACTAGATTCTGCTCAAATTCATATTGTCAGGAAGTTTTTTCTTTTTACGTTTCAAGCGCCGGAGTGGGGAGAACAGGAACATTCCTTTCCCTGGACTACCTGATGGATGAAGCTGAGAGTGACAACAGGGTCAACTTGTACATGTGTGTGGGCAAAATGAGACAGAACAGGATGAACATGGTCCAGACAGTCGTATGTGAACTATATGTGAAATACTTTACAAACATGTCGCCAGTTGAGTAACAGAATCTGAATGGGGACCCATATATGGTGAGCGTGGTATACGGTGGGGCTGTGTGAAGATTACAGTCTTTCTACCAGCCAATACTATATACACACTGATGTGAACTACTATATGTTCATAATTATGACTGTTCATTCTTTCTGTTCAGAGTCAGTACGAGTTTGTCCATGATGTTGTTCTGGAAGCACTCCACAGTCGGGGAACACTCTACACTTTGCCAGACTTTGACAAAACATTTGGCCTCGGAGAATCCTTCACGACTCAACAGCAGCTCATGCTAAAGAAAGAATTCAAGGTATTTCAATAGAAGGTCAGGTTAGAGTTGGTTGAGAATATTCCCCGCTGCAGAAATTACTCAATGTAATTTGACAGCGAGATCCAGTCGTTGTATGGTCCATGTAGACCATACAATTGTAGGTATGCCAAAAGCAAATCCCTGGCGGAAACAGCAGGTTATTGCTGCTGATACAATTCAATTTTTCAGTTGTGAGATCAAGTTTCAAAGAGTCAACAGCAGGACATACAAAAGAAACAATTCAAAGTCCAACAGCTGGATCATATCGTATTATGTTCACTAGGGTAAACAGTAATACATTTTCCCTTTTCAGTTACTGAGAGAGCTATCATCTAACCTTTTGGAAGAGATAACGTCACATGCACTGCTTCCAGAGAACTCCGACAAAAACAGGAGCTTGGATATTATTGCCGGTACAAACAGTTTGTCTGAAGTCAAAGTACCAGCTTTTAGTACAATGTATGATCTTCACAAGCAACATTTAACGTGTAAGATCGTAAACACAATCGTAAACGAAATGTAACGGCAAGGAATATACTCAAAATACGAAAGACGTTACAAAATATATTAGCCATCAAAACTTTTTAGACAGACAGACAGACAGTTAAGTTTATTTAGTTAAAGGCCAGAGGCCCATCATATAGTCATTTGCATATGGTATAGATAATTTTAACTTTTTAACTTAGAAAAAACACATTGTGTGTGTGCAGTGGATATGGTTTTCAGCTAATTGCAGTATCTCCCACTAAACTATTATATACTTTGTTAGATACCAAATAAGACCAACAAGAATACAAAGTTTCAGGTCACAATTATAACTTATTCCATGATCAATAAATAATAATTTGATTTATTTAAGGAAATAATTCAAGGCCGTATCTGTGTACACCTGTCCAGAAGCGGAATGACTACATCAACGGAGTATTTCTACCAGTGAGTCCATTATAACCATCAAGCTATGGAACAAAAACAGATCTAATGATTGTATTCCAAAATACAGTTTTGCACGTTATCTTTACATATATATATATATTTATATGTATATACATATGAAATGGTGTTCCGAGAGGAAACATAATCAGGAAAAGGGTAACATTATAAACCAGACACAAGATCCAAAAATGATGACCCGAAAACAATTGTGCTTACTCCAATCCCTTGATACCAGTAGCCATGTGTTATTTCTGTTTCAGTCAACTCTGCATCTGTCAAGCCTGATCGTCACCCAGACCCCGCTACCAGACACTGTGGGTGACTTCTGGAGACTTGTGTATGACAATGACTGCTTCACCATCGTCTGTCTGGATGACGCACAGGTAAATATTTTGGGCGATATCTCATTTTATCATCACACTCACAGTTTTACATGATTTTACCATCTTTCGAAGGTGTTTTTGTTGTTGTGTGTGCACTCGAAAAAATCTTTTCAGTCATGCAGTACCCGTGTTTGATAAACATATTATGTTTCGTTTGTTTAGACAGACGTTGTCTGATATTCACCTCTGAGCTTCTCTAAATGATGGGCGTCACTGCAAGTCACTCCACAATCACTCTGGAGGTCCTCTTATGAGTGAAAGACGTTTATTCAGTAAAGGGGCCACAGGCCCATTATACATGGTATACAATGTACATAGTTTCACAAACGCCAATAAAATCATTAACATAAATGCTACAGAGCAGGATACACATCAGGATGTGGAGATATTACAAACGCAAAAACGTATTACATTTTCGAGAGCTTGATATAAATATTTTCTAAGATTATCAATGACAAGTTTAATAAATAAAGTTACTCTTTGACATGAACAGTTCAATCAGCTTCTCGTGTTGTGGAAAATTATAGTAATATTTTGTATTTTCTCTCAGATCATTGTAAAAGAACATTCAAAGGCAGAACTGATATTCATTTTCCACAGAAGGAATGATACAAAAGGACACAAGCGATCACTTCGCTCAAGACTAAGAGCGTCTACCGTATCCAATCATCAACGTGTTACTGGAGCTTCGAAATTTACTTACAGCAATATGAAATACTGATGTGGCTCATGTAAAATTTATCAGACATTATCTTAAATATTCTTCAAAAAGTCAAGTTTTGAAAAACACAAAATATCATCCTTCCATGACTGGTTATCGTTGTACATTTTTGTTTGAATAGAGACATGAAACAAATAATATTTCCAACATTCTGATAAAACTAAACTTTTTAAAATCCATAACGATTTAAAAGTCTTTTCACATTCAATGCCCAACATTGTCGTCCTTTCTGTTCAAGGCTATATTGATATTGATATGCTTTCTTCGAGATGAAATTGTCAACTTGGGAAATCAATCTAGTCCAATATTTATTCATTTTACAATATGTATTTACTTTTAGTGAGTGACCACCAAGTTCAGCACGGGCAAAGATGTTTGGGGTATTCCTTGGAAGACTAAGAACTTGTTTACCAAATTTGTCATAAATGTTAATAACATTAGATGATGTGTGAACGCCCTATACTTTACTGCCAAATCGCAAAATTGGTAGAAATTTCATATCAAATATTTGAAACAAGACATGTATTGAGGACCTAAGTTTAGATAGAACTTTCGGCCAAAGGTTTTTGAGTGATATACCATGAGCCTGAGCTTGACAGATGAGCCCAAAAATACTAATTGTATGGGACAATATATCTAAGATATCATTATTAAGAAAGAACTGTTCACATTTCTTTAATCTGCCTCGTTTTCTGAACACAATCTTACTCTTGGCTGCATTACTTTTAAGTTTCCATTGGTCGCAATATGTAACTAACTTATCTAACCTCTTTGTAAACCACCGACTGCAAAATCAAAAAGTACAATATCGTCGACAAAAAGGAAGGCAGCTTACGCGTTGATTTCATGACTTTAGCGATAAGAATTGCATATTTAGCTTTGTTTTGTTACGACAGGCACAATTTGAAAAAGAGAAACGATGGTGTGCTTTCACTTAATATTCACACATATAATACAATTAGAAAAAAAGAATGTCCAAATTTCACATTGGCTGTTTATGCACGAAACAGCTGTAACTTATCCTGAAGAAAACAAAGAGCTGAAACAGGGACCATTCAGTGTTATGCAAGTGGAAGCGGATTCAAACAGAGAATTCTACATGGAGAAGAAGATGACGCTTGTATCATCTTATATCCCCAGTGACAGGTGGTGTGTGTTTGTGGTGTGTGTATGTGTGTGTGTTGTTTTTAGGTTTTAGTCACATTGTATAGGATACATCTCGCCTTTATTCTCAGATGATACAGAAGAAGTGTTATGATTGGTCGTCAGAAGATAGATCAACTTGATCTTGATTTTGACATTTCATTGACAGGTCGTTAAGTCGCTGTGATAATATTGCTGATTTTCATTATTCTGATGAAAGTATTTTTCCACTCCTTTCATGCCAAACTTTACATACATTTAATGATTTCATGTAATGAAACAGAACTGCTAGAAGTCGATCAGTTTGTTTTGTCTCCAATCCCTGGACATGCTGACCAAGACTGAAGCCCTTCATGAGCTGGTCAGTAGAGTGGACAGGATCATCAGCTCTACTGACCACAAGGTTCTGGTGCACTGCCAGTAAGTTTAATGTGTATGTTGTATATTGATTAAGACCTTTATAACTATCACCAACATCCCGTTTATGTTACAGGGGTCTTGCAGTGTCAGTGAGTGAGTGAGTTGTAAATATTCCAGATTATGACACCAGAAATGGGCTAAATTGTACCCATGAATATAACCCGCCTTCGGTGTATTTAACCACACCGCCCTCATCTGTTTTGTGACCCAATGAATTATGACTTATTGTTATGAGTGCAAAAGATTTGAAGACTAAACATGCTGGATATTGAGCCCAGAATAGCATGAGTAAACTACATGTATATACTAGCATGTATTATATACTTATACGATACTGTATATTGGCAGTGAATATTGAACAAAGATAACTTGACGTAGATAGTTATTTAAAGGAGCGATAGAGTAGCCTAGTGAGTGAAGCCTTCGCTTGTCATTCCGAACACCCTGGGTACAATGCGTGAAGAACAATGCCTGTGGTTGAACGAATAAAGTCGGAATTTGTGTCTCATGGGTTTACAAAAGATTTATTCTAGATTATGATAACAACCTTTTCATTACCTCTCACGTCAACCTGATTCAATCGTATGGGGATTTTCAATCCAGTGACGGCGCCGGAGCGAGTGGTGTGTTCTGTAGCGTCCTGAACATCATCACCAGGCTGAAGTTGGACAGAACATTGGACGTCTTTCTCACCATTCGGGAACTACAGCGTGTACGACCCCAGTTCATACAGACCCTTGTGAGTAGATACGTCATTTCTAACACACTTCCGTGATTAATTAGCTTATGTGTGTGGTGTAACGTTGTAAAATTGGTAAGACTTCACCTATTAAGGGTAGTAATAACCACATCAGAAATAACATTCAACATCAAGTTAATTTCACATTGCCATGTAACCGGTATACAGTGTGCTTTACTTCAATTTGGTGTTTGGGTTTGTAGTGAATACTGTTTAGTTATTTCATTCCACGGTTGTTTGAACGATGCACATCTTTACCTGTTATATGAAAAAAGAGATTATTTAGCAATGTCGACTGTATAAGTAGGTGATGGACGCGCAGCAGTGTGCTATACATAGTTGGGTCACACCAGAAACCTATGGTCGTGGGTTCGAATCCCGGTTCGTCCCAGTCATGTTTATAGGTTTGTCAGCACCATATCCATCCTGAATTGACTTGAGACATTAGCCCCACTCCTGCCTCCAAGCGCAATACTGCTCTGAATTCTCCATCGAGATGCACCTTGGCAATTGCAAGCCACTGTTTCGTTGCCATAACGAGCAATGGCAATAAGGTTTCAACACTCATTTCACGAATGCATGTCTGTAAAGTTTGAAAAACATTCAATGTTTCTGAATAGAATTTACTATTGGAACTATCAGTTTATTTTTGTCTGACCATCACTATATGTTATTTGCAGGATCAGTTCAAGCTGTGCTAAAACATGGTGAAGCAATACAACCGTGCTTCCAGCATCTACGCCAATCTGTGATAAATAACAAACGTTCTCCGTATAGAGAAAAAACCCCAACCTGTTTGAAGCACACAGCAGATGAACTTATATTGTCTTATTTACTCTCTATTTCTTGTACATATGTGTCTATGTTAATGGTTAAGAATAGCTATTATTGAATTTTTGCCAAATAACCAGCCTATAGTAAATAGCTTTTACCCAAGCATGTACCTTATACAACCGTTATGCATGTAAGTTATATCATGCACCTTCTTCTTTATTCTAAGCAACAAATGTATTCTGAATATCGCTTCAATCATGAAGCGACCTGTGAAGAGTTGACAACATTGACACTGAAAACTGGACATAACATACTTGATTTCATTGAATGAGCCGTGTATCATTGAGTAGAATGAGATGTAGTGCTAGCGCCTGGTACCAATGGGAATTACACAAAGTATAGTCGAGCATGAGGAAACTTTAAACTAAGCTTTAACTGAATGATCATAATTACTCTACGCAAATCAATGATATATCTATTATCTGCTCAGGAGACACAGTTCTCATCCTTGGTGCAAGATAACCTTCCCAGAAATTATCCAGGGAAACACAACTCGACTTTAGTCTTCCGAGCAGTAGTGGCTTCATACATATATGACTACTTGTCCTATTGGGTAACCTTCGTGTGCATGTAACCATTATGTATAGAACACTGCCTTGCCCAGTTTTTTTTATAATGTACTTGATAAAGTCAAGTAACTGTCACATTGAAGAAACAAACAAACTTCGATGTTTAGTATATATGTGTCGATTACATACACTTGAAGACGCATTGCAGTATAATAGTTTCATCGCACAGCTAAACAAATGTATGCTCTATAACTATTTGCGCATGATCAATTGCATGCAATATCCACAAGTAGCTGCGAAAAAGGAACAGTCTCTATGTTTGGGAAAAAAGTAACCAAAGGGTCCCGTAACAGTTTCAAAGAAAATTGACCAAGAGGTGTTATTCAACTTTCGAAAATATGCATTCGTTTTTGTTTGTGATTGGTGCCCCTAATCTTTAAGATAATATGCTTAATATTTTCGTTAATACCCTGAGGAGTTGTTAATAACTTTAATACAACGACCAGTCAATATCTCAGAGTCATTTCGCTCATATACACAGGGGCCTCTGAAACCAGATTACACGAAGCATGAAGCTTATGCGGTAGTGGGGGTTTTGTAACCTGAACCATGTCTGTTATTGAGAGCAGACTGAGGTCTTTTATACGATATCTAGATGAAAATGTGGTGAGGATACTAAGAACTATTGTACATATTGAGATTTAAAAGGCATAACATCCATTAGTTAATAAAAACAAGCATGTTCTACACTTTAACCTGATTCTTTTTTTAATATAACTGGAATTCATTCCTTTGGAAACGCAAGACCCGAGTTCAATTCCCTACATGGGTTACCATATATTAAGACATTTTGAGAGGTCCCTGCCTTGGTATTTGCTGAATTATATTGCTAATAGCGGCGTAAAACCACACTATACTTGAGGTATAAAGTGATGGGGGTACAATTCGTGAGAAAATCAACAACAGACTATATACTTTGGTCTTTTCTAGACTTTGAACGAAGAATATGAGGAGGTGATCATGAGACACAAGAATAGAGCATTCATTGCACCAACGTGGCCAATCGAAGATACTTAAACCCCTTGAAATGACGCCAGGCCAATGTACAACCACTGGCAAGTTACTATATAAATGTATGTTTGTATGTATTTACAGTATGGGGCCCGAGTGGAAAAAATTCATTTCCGAAGATTTTTCTCGGGTTCAAACCCATTTAATACGATCTATGCTTATAATTCATATGTTGTGAACGTTTTTGTGCCTTGTATGACACCACTGTTTGAGACCGGACCAAGAAACGCAATCAAGCCTGACATACCTAAAATAGTTGGCATGCAGTATACAGTTATGTACATACATAATTAACACTATTCACTTTTGCATGATTTGACTTTCAGAGGTACATTGATAATATGTGTCCGTAGCACACGTAAACACCACAAGGTTGATAGTTTTGCGGAAATGAGCTTTTTATTTTCTATCTAACATGTTGTCCCTTCTTTTGATCATCTCATATGGAAACTTTAGTCAGGATAATGCACATACTGTAGTCGGTACGTCAATATTAGACTATTATGTATACGTAGCAGTGTTATTTGACAAATGTAAGGTCCTACCTATATATTTTAGTGGATGGTGTTGCATCATGTCTGATGACAGGTGCACCTAGGAGACATGAGTATCCAGTTTTCGTCACAGTTATCTCATAAGCAAACAATGATTGCAAGTCAATACCGGAGCATGACAAGCGCCTTGTCCCCTGACTGCACAACTCAACGCACTTCCTGGTAGCCTACACAGGCATACATGCAAAGATAGTGTGCTGAACACATTTACGAGGGGTGAGTACTGACGAAACTCTGTTAAATAAGTTCACTGTTATTCATTGTGTGTTTATGAGCGACATCTAATGAAATTGGTGATGCATATGGGTTTCAACTGCGGATTTCGTGTGCGATATCAATATCTATTGTCTTCTTTTGTACTGCTCGTCGCCATTGGACGTCTGCACGGTGTTCAGGATAAGATTGTGTTTAGTTTCGGCAGACCAGTCTGTGGAAATAACTGGATGGATGTTGGTGTAATTAGACAGTAAATAAAAGACTAGATGAAAGTGTAATTTGACAGTGACTAAAAGATTAGATGGATGTTGGAAGGTGGTGTAATTAGACAGTAAATAAAAGATTAGATGGATGTTGGTGTAATTAGACAGTAAATGATAGACTAGATGAATGTGTAATTAGACAGTGAATAAAAGACTAGATGGATGGTGGTGTAATTAGACAGTAAATAAAAGACTAGATGGATGGTGATGTAATTAAACAGTATATAAAAGACTAGATGAATGTGTAATTTGAGAGTGAATAAAAGATTAGATGGATGATGGAAGGTGGTGTAATTAGACAGTAAATAAAAGACTAGATGGATGTTGGTATAATTAGACAGTGAATAATAGACTAGATGAATGTGTAATTAGACAGCGAATAAAAGACTAGATGGATGGTGGTGTAATTAGACAATAAATAAAAGACTAAGTGAATGTGTTATCAGACAGTATATAAAAGACTAGATGGATGGTGGTGTAAATAGAGAGTAGATAAAACACCAGATGGATGGTGGTGTAATTAGACAGTAAATAAAAGACTAGATGGATGTTGGTGTAATTAGACAGTAAATAAAAGGCTAGATGAATGTTGGTGTAATTAGACAGTAAATATAAGGCTAGATGAATGTTGGTGTAATTAGACAGTAAATATAAGGCTAGATGAATGTTGGTGTAATTAGACAGTAAATAAAAGGCTAGATGAATGTTGGTGTAATTAGACAGTAAATAAAAGGCTAGATGAATGTTGGTGCAATTAGACAGAAAATAAAAGACTAGATGCATGGTGGTGCAATTAGACAGTAAATAAAAGGCTAGATGGATGTTGGAGCAACTGGACAGTGAAAAAAAGACTAGATAAATGTTGGCGTTATTAGACAACCAGTCAATATCTCAGAGTCAGTTCTCCATATACACGGAGACCTCTGAAACCAGATAACCTCAAATATGAATACTGCAGGCCACATACATGTAGCTTATGTGGTGAGGGATTTGTGAAGCTTGACTGCCCAGAGCAGGTTGGGGTCGTATATACGATATCTGGAAAAAAATGTTGTGACGATATTCAGAACTGTTGAAAATATTGATATTTATCAGGATGAGGCCATTTACTTCATAAAAAGTCTACTGTACACTTCATTTTTCCCGTGATAGAATTGCTTGAAACACAAGCTGACAAACGCGGGTAGCGTGGTAGCGAAAGGGTTCGAGCGTTCTCTTCTTCCGCCGGAAATTCGAATCCGAATTCGATTCCCAACATGGGTTACCATGAAGCCGCCTTGGTATTTGCTGAATTATTTCTTACAATGGCGTACAACCACACCTACTCACGCATGCAGTGAGGCACAATTTGTGGCAAAATCCTGGTATAAAAGTAGACGTAAACGTTGATCTTTGTAGATGGAGCGAGTATGGTCTTAGGTCACATTGGCAGCAGTATACAAAGAATACTACGTCCTCATGAGCCCCCAAAATAGTGCATTCATCATTGCACCACCGTAGGGAATCGAACCAAGGGAAACAACTGTAACCACTCGAAATGACGCCAAATGCAACCACTGGCAAGTTAATGTGTATGTAGATTGTGCCATCCCACCGATTCAATGGTGGACGGTTTCGAACCCATTTAATACGATCTGAGCTTATGAATTGTTATCTTGTAAACAGTTTCTGCGCTGTGTATGACACCACTGTATGTGACAAGGGCTAGAAACGCAATGGATTATGTTTCTTATGCGTAAGAACCAAGGCTGACATATCTAAAATGGTTACCATGCAATGTAAATGCATACACATCTGTCTGTATACATCAATAACGACTTTTACTGTTTCGTGATTAGTTTTGTCAGAAACACATTGGCGAAAATAAGTTTCAGTAACACAAGCCACAACCCATAAAGTGCATAGTTTTCCAAAAATGAGCTATATAATTTTATATTATTTTTTTAAAATAAACTCTTATTAGTGTGTCCTCAACAACTGTTATGAACTTTTATTAGAGCATTCCATATTACAATGGAAATATTGCAAAGTCGACAAGTCAGTATGATGTTTAAGTAGCAAAGTTATTTGAAAAATGTAAGCTCCTACGTATACATTTTAGTGGAGGGGTTGCATCACATCTGATAACATGTGTACTGGAGATCTGGGTCACGAGTTTTTGCGACAGTAATCCCCAAACCAAACAATGTTCACCCAGTTCATACCAGGTTACAAACACCGTTTCTCCACCATGGAACGCTCACCTACTTAACACAATTCACTTCCTGGTTGCCTACACATGCACACGTCAATGCATCGTATTGAACATATTTGAGGTGTTCACTGGTGCGACAGGTGAGTACTGACATAGTTTTGTTTCATATGTTTGCTGTAATCCGGTCTGTGTTTGAATGACATCTCACCAAATCCAGATCTAGTGTGCGGTATTATTATTATGTTGTAGTACTCTCTTGCTTTATACTGCTCGTCGCCATTGAGTGATGATATAAGTGCACGCTGCTCATGGCAAATCCTTGTTTCGTTTTTCATCCTGCTGTGGAAAGGACATACAAGACGGATATGGTGTAATCAAACGGTGAATGTAAGACTAGATGGTTGGATGCCATTAGACAGTGAATATAAGACTAGATGCACGTTGAGTAATAAGATGGTGAATATAATACTAGATGAATGTAATGTGACTAGAAAGTGAACATAAGATGAGATGGATGTGATGTAATGAGACAGTGAATATAAGGGCTAGATTGATATGATGTAATTAGGTAGTGAATATAAGGTATACTTTAAGTAGCGTGTAAACTAGGATATGTGGTCCTGAGCATCCAGTTATTTCCACACAAAAATACATATCACTAATTATAATGTCATAATCAAGGAACGTCTTCATGTAACATGGCTTGGCATATGGTTTTGTCCTCAACAACTGTTGACAAGTTCTAGGACAGGAATACCTAACCACGGTGACCATTCTGCAAAACAAGAACGGATATAGACGTGTTGTCGACCATGCCAAACCAAGAAAATGGAAAGGGTTACCAAAGCACGACAATGCGACAACATAACGATATTCTGGAATAGTTTACATGGTCTATAAATGGAAATGACGATGGCCTATACCTTTACACACCTTGACCGGAACCGGTAGTTCAAGGTTCACAGTGTGAGATTTGATTCTCACGACTGTATCATATGTCATCTCACCATTCGGTAAAGGTATAATCTTTTCTTAAGCCACGTACACGCGTTGTATATGTAGAAGTTCATGTCTAAATCAAATCTCGTATTAGAACGTGTATCATCGCTCACGTTTGTAGTTAAAAAAATATTCGACATTAATTTATGAAATTGATATTTACAATGTCTGTTTGAAAAGTCATACCAGTGTGTTTGTAGACCCATGCTCAAACTTATTACAACATATTCGTTTTGATAAACATAATTTACACCAACGACAGTGCATCCATAAATCTTGACATATTAGGTTGATATATAAAACGTCTTTATGTAGAGGATTAAAATACTGTCGCATGCAGTATTGGATTTAGTAGAACGTAATTTAGAAACATATAGGATATTTTCAGGCGGCGTAGTCATAGGGACGGCTCTTCAGCCTCCTCATATAAACTATGTATAAGTGTGCTGAAGTCTCGAAGGTAGTGTCTCTGACCATATTGATGAACAGTCGCATAATTTTAAACTGACCTTACATGCCCAACCATAAATGATGGAACGGTAATTAAGTTTAGATCGGATCAGGGCTCTGTCCAAGGGGGCGTAAACCTAAACGTACTCACTCACTGTACAAGGGAGAGGGCTTTTTGAACCCCTCTCCACTTCGAGTTTGAAACAACTATAAATATATCAAGTGCTGGTCGAAGATATTACAATAAAAAAACAACTCAGTTTCCTTTACAACTTCAGTTGGGTCACCATATAGAAATAGATCCGGGTTCTTGTGAGGTATATACTGTCGACAACAGTGAATTCAGTTAGTTAAGGTTTTGAAAATATCAAATCAGTTTTCCAAACACGATTAATTACATTTTGTTGAAAACACAATTGCAGTGGCCTGTCAATAGTATGCATGTTTACGAGGGTCGAGAAAAAAGTACGTAGCCTAAATATATTTTGGATGTAAAATGTTTGAAAAGCTTCCATTCTATTTTGAAGGAATCGTTAGCAAAGCCATATCCAAAATTTCACATGTGTGGGTAATGTGGTTAACCAGATATTTGTCATCACAACACGTTGGGGTATAATATTTCTAACAACATTGCAGAAAATGAAAACGATTTGTCTTTTGGTACCTCTTGGATAATGGTATGCCCTCAGATAATGTCATATAAAATATGTTCAGTATAGTATTGGATGACTTCCCGTCATGATCAACCATCAAAGATTTGGATTACCTGATTTATATGTAGTCGGGGGCTATTGTTTAAGGACACCCCAATTTAATCTTTTCGAAAACATTGTGGCCAGATATTCAAGCTGGCACTGTTTACAATATATTGTGAGCTGACACTTGTTTGACCATTCAGTATTTAGTTTGAACCCTTGGCATCATGCATGCATAAGTGAAAACATTAGAATAAGTTATGTCCTTATGATTACGTCATCTGAAAGGGGGATGGGTAGTTTCTCCAAAATAAGCTCTTTCAGTCAGTATGAAGGGGAAGGGGGGTCACTTTAACAAGCGATTGTAATTTCAAATTGCTTTTTTATGAACTTTAATAT